CACTGGCGGAACTGAGAGCAAACAAACTGGGGCCCATTGTCTGAGATGACCCTATCAGGTTGGCCATACTGTGCAAATTGAGCCTTGCAACGTTTTATGGTCATCTCAGCCTGGCATCATGGTCTTTGCCTGCCTCTTCCTCGCTGTCTCCACAGTCTACGATGAGGATATCGTCACCTATAGGCTCCACCCCATCAAGCCCTTCCAGCAGCTCGTGTTGTTTTCGCTGATAGACCTCTGGGGCAAGCGACACACCAAATCGAAGTTTCAACCACCTCCAGAAGGTGGTCATGAGGCTGCTAGCCTGATCCAGCCTGCATTGCAGAAAAGCGTCTCTTGCATCCACCAGTGTGAATACTTTGGCTTTTGGCAGTTTATAAAGCACATCCTCCAGTGTGGGCATGATGTAATGCGATCGCCTGAGCGCCAGATTGAGGTGATGAGGTTGTAAACATATGCATAGCTTTTCAGGTTTTTTGACTTTGACCATATTGCTGATCCAGTCTGTGGGCTCACTGACTGATGTGATGTGGCCCTCCGCTTCATATCTGTCGAGCTGAGCCTTTACAGCCACCTTCAAAGCCACCGGGACGTTGCGTGGTGCACACTGCACCAGCTGAACTGCTGGAAGTGCACCTCTCTGGGGAGTGCCTCCACAGGGTTGTTGAAGACATCATGGAATGCTCTGATGACCGTACTTTTGGTGGTGTGGTGAGGCTGTCATCCTCCATGTTCAGCCCTTCTACTCTGAGCTCCTCTGGGATGGTGAAGTATAGGAGTCCCATCTCCTCTGATGTAGACCCCGACAACAGTGGCAACTGCCGTGTGTGCACTACCTCAAAATCTAGGTAATATTTGCAGCCCCGTACAACACACTCTGTAGTATAGACCCCTAATGATGGCAGACCTTGGTGAAAGTACAGTTTCAGGGTGGTGCTACTAGGTTTTAATTTCTCTCTGGGAGCTAGCCTCTTCTTGTCTCTGAGACTTAAGACATTGCATGTAGCTCCTGAGTCAAGTTGGCATCTCTGTAGTTTGCCATTTAGCCGAAGATTGACAAACCATTTTTTGCCTTTTGTTCTCACTGCACCGATACTCTCTGTTGCATACACATGATTGGTTTCCATGACTGTGTTGTCTTTGTCAGTGTTCAATTCCTCAACTGTGTGGAGTTTCCCATCTCTTCTCTTACTTTTATTACACACTCTTGCAAAATGATTGGTTGTGCCACAGGCATTGCAAGCCTTGCCATATACTAGGCAGTGTTCTTTTCCCCAACTATGTGATGTTCCACAGTACTTGCATGTGGAGAAACCCTCACCCTGCGATCACTAGTTTTTTCTGTAATGTGTAATGATTTTTTGAATGTTTGTTTGCCTATGGCATTTACAGTGTCCAAGTGAGATCTCTCATGCTCCATGGATCTCAGCTGCCAATCACTCAGATCTACTGCTCGACATGCATCAATAGCACTGGCTAGCGTTAAGTCTTTTTCCCTTAGCAGCTGTCAGCATGTGCCCTCATTAGCAATGGCGATAACTATTTTGTCCCTGATTAGCTCATCTCTCAAGGCTCCATATTCACAAGTAGCTGCTTTTTACCTGAGTCGAGTCACAAAACTGTCGATTGCGTCACCTTCCTCTTGTTTGCAGTTGCCGAAGATGTAGCGTTCATAAATCACATTTTTTGCCGGCTTGAAGTAGCGTTCCACAGAGTTCAATATGATGGTCACGTCCGCTTGCTCCTTGCTGCTCAGGTTCAAGTTGTGTTTATAGACATGTCGACATTCCGCTCCCATCACACTTCTCAGAGTCGCTGGTTGGGCTTGTCTGCTAGCCCTGTTGCTAAGGCAATATCTTCGTAGTCCGCCCAGAAGATCTCCCGGTTTGCACTTATGTTGCAGCTGAGCTTCATCGGAGCTGGCGGGGGTATGGTTGCGGCCACGGCTATTCTGTGTGGACAAGGCATAAGTTGCAGTGAAAAGACAGTAACTTTCAAGTGTCGCTTAAGCCTAGTTCACACTACACGATTTTTAGCCTGATTTGCTGCTCGGCGATGTCAGGCTGTGATTGGTGATAAATCAGCGGCTGATCGGCGGTTGCCAGTCGTTATGTGTGAACTACACAACGACACATCAAAACGGCTCCCCGACACATCACTGCCACATCACCGACGTCTGCCAGATATCTAGCATGCCAAATATCTAGCATGCCAAATATCTGGAAGAGTCGACCGACTCGACATCCACATCCAGCCAATGAGAGCAGGCATACTTTTTCACTGCAAAACACTTCTTACTCCCCTCCAGCTCTCTCTGTAGCTCAGTAAAACCCTGCTACCTGCATGTGCTAATCCATTCTTTCATCCATATTCTTTGTCTTTATAATTTCTATCTTTAATAACAAACAACAGCTGTTTCGTGTGTAGGTCGCGTAATTTCCCGTTTCACATTCATTATAGAGCTTCATGTATGTTATATTGACAAAATGTGGTTTGGAGACCAGCGTCAGTGCCACAGCCGCTGTCAGCTCTTGTAGTGTGTGACCCCGTCACTGATCAGTCACGCAGTGTGAATGCCACAGCGACTCCCGTCACAAGACAGCAAGTTGTAGTGTAACGACACTAAAAGTCGTGTAGTCTGTACGTGCCTTGAGTGAAACCACTTAGGGCATGTTCACTGGTGTAACAGGGACACTGCGCTGTGATCATAGAAACAGATCATTATATGTTTATTGCACCTTCAGTAATATCGGCTGCCTTCTCTTCAACACAGCTCCGCTAGGCTATTATTCGCAACATGTAACCAATAAGAGTGCTGTGGGTGGGACATTGAGCAAATAAATAAGTAAATAAATAAATAAGTAAAAAATATACATACATACAGGCCTTTATATAAGCAAACCTACCCAGTCAAGATGTAGAAGGGGGTGTTGCCAAAAAAGTTTGGGAACCGGTGGTCTAGATGACATCTTTAAGTCTAATATCATCGTTTTTATTACTTGGAGAAACGTGCAGGAACTGTACTCATCCAGCCAATTGAAAAATGTGACAATAGGACTGGTGACCATGAATAAAATAACAGACAATGTTGCTTTACTGATGCTATTGTTACTGTTGTTACATAGTTGTGTGGCTAAAGGTCTCTTGTTAGCTGTGTTAGCTGAGGATTGCATTACTCACCACAGTGCCAATGTGACCATTTTCCATGTCTCAGATGGATTAATTTTGAAGCTAACCAGCTTGAATGGTCGATCGACAAAATGACGTGGCAGCTATTTTGATAATCAAATCTATAAATATCTTAGGGTTTTAAACTGTTGGTCAGACAAAACAAGACATCAAAGACACCTTGGGTTCTGGGAAAATGTGGCGTTAAATTGTCACTATTTTAATGGATTGGCCATTTAATAGACAGAATTATTAATTGCTTTATCAAGAAAATAATATGCAGTAAAAGCTTTTTCTCCACGCAGAACCAGAACAGAAACATTGTTTTTAATTGTAAAATTCTGCCCCTGATTCCCAGTATAAATGCAAATATCAGTGAATTTAAGGTCCTACCCTTCTGTCTCCCTGTCTTGGCCCATTGACCCATCTAAATAATAATAATCTATTTAGCTAAATAGATCATTACTCACCGACAATACAAGTTTAGCACTCTTGACCCTCTGAGGAGACCCCGGCTGTAAATGCTGCAGACTTAAACACATTAAAATGCTTCTATGGGTCAATGAGAATTGGAGCTTTATGTGATTTTACTTTGAGGTTATTTTAAGGACTTTTCAAAAATGAAATCGGAGATGTGTGTGAGAATCATTTCTCTTCATGTGCATCAGCTTCACTATGCAACGTTTCTGCTGCGCTGGTTCGTTGAGCACAAGATGGCCTCGGTACAAAGCCATCTCAAGGATTACCACTGATCCACACTGAGCATTTATTATGACATGATGACGGGGGGAAAAATCCACATTGGGAGGAGAGAGAAATGGTGTACAGAGAGACGGTCAGGTTGCACAAAACTCTGCTCTGTAATTAACTGTTAAGAATCATTAAAAGCAGAATAAACAGAAAGTGAGAGATGTTTGCTTCCTTATCACATGGTTGCCATTGGCAACTGCACTGTGAAGTCTGCATTCGTTTATTTAAGGTTGCAGACTTAAGTGAATAGGTGAAGAGTGCTAACTCCTCACATGCTCCACAGTGTGACAGATGGAAAAGGAGAGGAAATATATGCTACAACGTGAACATTGAATTTGCATTGTGTATTGCATGACAGTGCTGTTTCACACACATGTAAAAGGCCCCCGTGGTTGCTAACAATGTTTGTGTGTTCAGGCCTCCTCTTGAGTTCCCTCCCACGCTGTGGGGACACTGTAAAACACACACTATTCCCCCACTCTTCTACACCATAATCCATAATGTAGTCTACCTCAGAAACAGCCACACTACATTTACTGTATCCATTATTGAATGGATTAAAAAGAGTTTTTTTTTTTTAATTAACTGATATTACTATACATGTCTGTTTGTGACTGTTGCTTCACCTCCTGAGTCTTTTGTCAGCACCCCCCCCCCCCCCCCCCCCCCACACACACACACACACACACACACACACACACACACACAAACCTCTCGGTAATGTCCCTATTTTGAATTATTCATCTGACAGCACTCTCTCAAGCACACACCCTCCAAACACACACACACACACACACACACACACACACACACACACACACACACACACACACACACACACACACACACACACACACAGACAGATGGCTGGTACTTTGAGATCTTTTTCAAAAGCTCTGGCCACAAACATTTCTAATAATGGTCTTTATTGTGTTTTATGTGGAAATCAACCCAAAACACACCTTTGCACTGAAAATATCAAGAATGTAATAATATTTTCATGAAAAGCTGTATGTGTGTGTGTGTGTGTGTGTGTGTGTGTGTGTGTGTGTGTGTGTGTGGGTCTACTGCCTCTGTTTTAGGGGAGCTTTCTCAGAGGTGGTTCTAGCAGAGGAGAAGAGGACCCAGAGGCTGGTGGCAATCAAGTGCATCCCCAAAAAAGCATTGGAAGGCAAAGAGAACAACATTGAAAATGAGATCGCTGTACTACACAGGTGAGGTCACCAAAGTTCCCTCGACACGACGCGTCAGCTGCCGCTTTGTGTCCGGCAGGAGGAATTAGTCAATGCAGCCTCTCACGGCAGTGCATGTACAGATGCAGAATATATGCAAGGGGTCAATTGAATGGGTGACTAAATGCATGGTGTCAGTAGAAACAGTAGGATTGTGCACCGGAAATGTCAGGAGTAAAGAAGATAGACCTATTTTTAGTGTCCCTGTTGCCAGGGCAACAGCACACAGAGGCGGAGATAGTGTGGAGTTCCCCGCAGCAGTGTATTGAAGAAAGAGAAAGAGACATAGAGGGTGGAGAAGGGGGGGGGGGGCATGGTATGAGAAAGATATGGAAGAATGGGAGTGGAGTTTGACCCAATACTTAAAAGTCACCATTAAATAAATGAGAGAGTTAAGAAACTTAAAAAATAATCTGAAAAAAACACACACAGAGGGATGCTCTATTCCTACTAAAAGTCACATCCTCTCAGCAGCTGATGTGTTATAATGATGGCACATTCATATGCTCTCAACTTGACTTGAGAGCCAAGAGAGACGCTCGACTGTCTGTTGGCTTGTTCATAACAATAAACGATCCAATTCTATTTTGTGTGTGTGCGTGTGTGTGTGTGAGAATAGCATTTGTTAGGCTACTGTCATTCTGTCAAGCCCCTGTAGCTCTATAATCTCCAAAGCCGTTCTTTGTTAATGCTTCCAGCTGCAGACGCTGGTCATTGTAATTCTTAACAAGAGGTCGTTACTGTATCCAAAGCTTTCCTGTGATATGATTTGAGAGGCTTTTACAACTCATGTTTTAGGAGAACATGGCAAACACAGATTTGATCCCAATTTCCTATAGGGCTTTCCATAGAAAAGAGAGAACATGCCGCTCTGAATTTTGCAGAAAGAATGCCATCTGGTGACCAATTGACAGTAAGCATTACAGAAATGTGGCTCAATTAAAAATGCAACTTATTCTTTCTGACAATGTCTGTCTGTTTATCGTCCTCAGAATCAAGCACCCCAACATTGTTACGCTGGAGGACATTTTTGAAAGTACATCCCATCTATATCTTGTCATGCAACTGTGAGTTTCCTTCCTCTTTATCCTACACATAGGAATAGGAGATGTGCATTCATCGTGCATCGTTACTGTGAAATAGAGCTGAAGCAATGATTTGATTAGTCAATTTGTTGATTTACAGGAAATTAATCAGTTTATTAAGCTGAAATGCAAAACATTCTTTGCCTGAGCATATCAAATGGGACATTTCGCTGCTTTGCTCTGATTAACATCATTGTAAGTTGAATACCTTTGGGTTTTGGGGTGTTTTTTTGTCAGACAAAACAAAACATTGAAAAGTGTCCACATGGGATCTGAGAACTTGTGATGGTGGTTTTTCACTGTTTTATGTAATTTATTACATAAACATTTAATTAACATACAGGCATCCCCCTCAAATAGGATGTAAAATCTTCTTATTTTACAGTCTAGTGTCATATATAATCATATATGTCACATATATATCATATTTAATCAATTATCAATTGAAATACTTAAATTCATGATTATTATTATAACTGCACAAGCACAATAAATGCTAGATGCCTTAAGTATAATTTTATACAACATTGTTTAAAAAAATATAGAATTTAAAACAAAGACTGTTCTGATCAATATTTGGCTGCACAGTATGAGTTTGTAATGACTGACCCACCGGTAAGAAGTTGCTTGTTAAAGGGGTTTTAACTAAAACCCACGTCTTCAGTAAAGGTACAGGACTATTGAGCTGTTTTCCATTATTTTCGCCTGGCAGGGTGTCCGGAGGGGAGTTGTTTGACAGGATTGTGGAGAAAGGTTTCTACACAGAGAGAGATGCCAGCCAACTCATCCACCAGATCCTGGATGCAGTCAAATACCTCCATGATATGGGGATCGTCCATAGAGACTTGAAGGTATCATTGCTCGGGGGGAAGACAGAAATATAACACCTCAGTCTGGCTTGCAGTTGCCTCCTTTCCGTTCCCCCTCCCATCTGCAAACCCTCCTATGTTATCATTCTTCTTGTCTTTGCAGCCAGAGAATTTGCTGTATTACAGTATGGAAGAAGAGTCCAAAATTATGATCAGTGACTTTGGACTGTCAAAGATTGAGGGGTCAGGCAGTGTCATGTCCACAGCCTGCGGTACTCCTGGATATGTGGGTAAGGCATTTATTTCTCCGGTCAGCCAGACTCTCCTCACCTCCCCCCTCTCTTTCATGTGAGCTCAGCACTTGCTGTTTCAGCTGATATCCCCTCTGTATTCATTGCGTTTTGAGAGGCTCTTTCATCCACTACTGAGTCAAATGCAAGTGTTTCAGAAGTGCTCTCCACCTGTTTAACGTGACCTGCCAGATCACATGGTATTACCGAAAGGTCAAGATTACTTGAATTTGCCCTCACTGCTGCTCTGTGTCTCTCTGAGTATTTTCCACTTTTCCCGAATGTCTGCTGTGTGCGTTTCACAGCTCCTGAGGTGCTCGCTCAGAAGCCGTATAGCAAAGCAGTGGACTGCTGGTCCATAGGAGTCATTTCTTATATTCTGTAAGTCTGAGCTCATTCATCACTGAGAATTATGTAAAGTGACCACTTTATAGTATTGAATATGTAACGTTATCTCTCCCTCAGGTTATGTGGCTATCCTCCGTTTTATGATGAAAATGATGCCAAGTTATTTGAGCAGATTCTGAAAGCAGAGTATGAATTTGACTCTCCATACTGGGATGACATCTCAGATTCAGGTACTACCGATTACTAAAAAAATCTACAGCAGTGAAAACAGTGAAATTCAAGTCAAACAAGTCAAGAGTGGACTGTTACAACATTAAGGGTGGTGATAGTGCAACGGATAAGACTGTTCCTTTGGTGTGAGAGACCCGGGTTCAATCCCCCACTGTGACCCATCCACCGTTGTGTTCCCTGAGCAAGACACTTAACCCCTAGTTGCTCCAGAGGCATGTGACCTATGATATGTATAGCAATTGTAAGTTGCTTTGGATAAAAGCTTCATGTAAATGTCATTCATTTTTTGTTTGTAGCCAAAGACTTCATCTGTCACCTGATGGAAAAAGACTCTTTGAAGAGATATACGTGTGAGCAGGCCCTCCAGCATCCATGGTAAGAAAGTCAACTGTCAATCAGCTGATAGAAAGAACTGAAACATTTAACAAGTTCAGTTTAATTTAAAATTTATTTTGAAATTAATCTCCAACCATTTCGATAAGAATAAATATTTAAAGATATTTACAGCAAATGTGCTAAACATTAACTTAATATGAGGATGAGTATGTGCTTTATATCTTTGTAAACTGATAATCTTTAGGATTTGGACTATTGTCAACATTTTACAGACTAGAATTCTTTTTTCGTAAAAATCGATTCATTGGAAAAATGTTAGGGCTGCAATGCACAAAATGTTAGAAATCAGTGAAAAATGCACATTTTCATTTCCCAGAGCTAAAGGTGACAAATTCAAATGTCTTGTTTTATCCAACCAACAGTGCAGAACTCCAAGATTTTCAGTATACTATCATAAACGTATTAAATTAGTACACATTCTGTACATTTGAGAAGCTCGAAGCAGATAATACATACCATCATAACAATAGTTTATGATAAATTTCCCATCAATCTCCTAATTTGATCAATAATAATATTATTATTATTATTATATATTCATATGATAATAAACCCTAGTCAGATGCATCAACTGCCTGTAAATTCTCTAATTCTTGTTGACTTTGCAGGATCTGTGGAGATACAGCTCTGGACAAGAATATCCACGAATCTGTCAGCGCTCAAATCAAGAAGAACTTTGCCAAAAGTAAATGGAAGGTCAGTGCCTCGCCTGAATCATACAGTGGCATGCTGAAAGAGCAGTATTAAGATTGGCAGGAGTTAGAGCACATACTGTACGCCTTTGCTGTTTTTCTCCCTCAATAGCTGTCAGACTCAGGAGGTTTTCTCTCTGTCCCTCTCTCCCTCTCTGTCCATGTAGCAAGCATTTAATGCCACAGCAGTGGTGCGCCACATGCGGAAGCTGCAGCTGGGCACTAGTCTCGAGGGACCCAGTCAGATTACTCCCACCAGTCCCTGCCATGGACATCTGCTCCCAGAGGAAGAGGAGGAGGAGGAGGAAGATGATTTGGGAAATGGGGAGGAGGAGAGCTGTAAGTTATCAATTCACAGTGAATGAACAAACACCCTCTTTCAGTCTGTTTCAGACCTAAGGTTTAATGATGTAAGCTAGCAAGGAACAGACATGGGGAGCGGGGTGAAAGGGGATGAAATGAAAATATGCCGTGTTCATGTACTATCAGAGTTGCTGTGATTACCATTTTATTTTACCAACAAACCATGTCAGCCAAGATAATTACTGAAACTTGGATTCTCCTGAAAGCTCTGATGTCGCTGACTTGGACGCTTAATAATACAGAAGTGCCTGAAAACCAAACAAACCTGGATGCTACACATTTGCCAAAGTCTGTAGTTCAAAGTAACTAAACCCAAATTTAATGAATTTAGTGCCACATTTTAAATTCACAGTATTTTAACCCTCTTGTGGGCCAACTTTGCAATCATAGTCCTCCGGTGATGTGAATACTTGCAACTAGTGGGGATCTTTCTCATCACTACCAACTAGACAGTACTTCAGACAGTAGAAAGAGGCTATGCACAGGATTAAATAGAAGATCGAGGATGAGGGGATGTGATGATGAATGGGTATGAAGAGGGTTAGGGTTACAGGGTGGAATTGGAGAAGTGAGGTCAGGCAAGGGAGTCGAGAAAATTGACAGGAGAGGATAGATCAACCAGTTACAAGGATAACTTGTTAAAGGAAAATTCAGATATTTTTCAACCTGGGTTTCATTCTTATAATTGTGGCAGTTCTAACTTTTGGTCGTGCTAACTTTGCGCTTGCCACCTGTATTGTAGAGATTCGGCAACGCGAATCTGGCAAAAAAACAAACAAACAAACAAAAAACGTATATTGGGGCACCCATCCTAAATGTTATAATAAACCAATGTTACAGAAATCATTTCCAACACTTATCTCTGCAGCTGACTGAAAGTAAAAATTGAAATTAGCACTCAGGGTTAGCTATTTTTGCTAACTGCAAAGTGATCTACTTATGGGGCAACCAGCTGGCTAACCAGGTGTAGCTGTATGGTTAGCCATCTTGCCATATGCACAAATAATAAACCAAAATATATTTTTTGTTGTTTCATATGAAGTTTTTACTTAAAGATCTCCTCCATTCAATGATGTGTTTTTCTCATAATTTTTTTTCACATTCCTCTACTGAAAAGGAAAAGGTCTGTAGAAACCTGAGATTCAAACGTACTCCAGGCAAGCTAGATTTGGTACGTAAAAAAACATTTGAGAGACAGTTGCTGTCTAGCAAATGCCACTGGCAAAGAAACCTCCAGAAGCAGACTTGTCAGTATCATAGACTGTATATAAAGATAAACGACATGACAGCTCCCCAAAAGGGTCGAGTCTAGATGGTAAACCTAGATTTGCAAAACTCTTATGAGATTTGTACGTGTTGTTTCTGCATGTTGGCCTACAGTGCCTTTCGCCAGAAATGCACTGTTCGTGTCCCGTGTGAAACCAAAAGTCTGTGTTGACTTATTATTTTATCACAAACTATGATCTTATCCCACACCTAATCAAGCCGTTGTGTTGCCTAAACCTAACCAAACTGCCACTGAAAATTGGAAATAATTTTATATTTATAATCACTCTTTACAATAGGTCACCTGACTCTTTTTGTACAGTGGGAGGAAGTGGAAATGCGTCGTTTGTCTTTCTATGTAGTCTATGGTCAAGACAGAGACCGAGTGTTTGCACTGGCACAGTGAAAGTTTTGAAAGTAAACATGGTAGAGAGTGCAGTTTCCATCCACTATCTACTACTGTGCGTAACAATGCGACAATGTGAATGCCCTGGAACATTGTAGCAGATATTCACAACCACTAATGCTATGTCAGCAACTGCCAATTACAAACTAAACAAATAAAGCCCTACCTTATCTTATCTGTCTGATCTTACAGCTGTTGCTTAACTTATAGAGAGCTGACCATTTGGCCCAGGCCCAGTTGATTTTGGGGAGGTGAAACAAAGTCTCTTGCACAGCAATATTCATCACAGCTGTGAATTTGTTGTAGTTACACAGCTGGTATCGCTCCATCCATGTACACTTGCGATTGTCCTCCTTGTAGTCTGCTGGATAACATTAACAAAATATTCTCCCATTTGTTACTACTTCTCTAGCATGAACACACGCTAGACAGCAACCCACAGCCTCACACCTAGAAACAAACCACCGTGTGCAGGTAGCTGTTTGGTTTGCCGGCTGATTGCATATAAATCAGTCAAAAACAATATCTAATCCAGGGGTGTTTACTTTTGGTCAGAGAAAAAAGCATTTCAAATGACTTTAAGTTCAATTTGAGTTGATTTGGAAAGCTTTAGGAGGCTCCCGCTGCCTGCTTGAATATATGTTGGTTAGCCGGAGTCAAATTTCCCATATCTCTACAAAGGAAGAATGCAAAGTGTTAATGACCCATAATCAGAATGACCACAATTATGAAAATAAGACCCTAGTTAAAAAAATACTAGAATTCCCCTTTAAATTCGTATGTTCCCTGTTATGCCCTTATCTCCAGTGTCCCACTACGAGGATGGCCGTCGCGGAAGCGCTGAGGGCAGCACAGATCGGGACAGCCTGAGAAGCTGCACCTACTGCTGCAGGCCAGCCAGTCGCGTCTGAGCACAAACTCCCCATGTCATGGTGACATTGTATCCCTGGAGCGTCCAGAGCCCGCCCGCCCAGTCTGGCCAGGAATGCAGAGTAGTTATCAGGCAGTGTCCACCAGGGTACATCTACAGCAAGCAGGTCACTGTCACAGTGAAGAGAAGCACACTGTAAGTCTTTGTCCCAAAAAAAATCACATCCTGACTCAAGATAAATATGTTATAACTTTTTTGCAGAACAGAATGCACGGCTGCTCCGACAGCGATCTATAGAAAGGGCCTGTCTGCATGATTATCCTGAAATAAATCTCCTAGCAACCTAACATGTAGTTGGCCTTTGTGCAGCTATAGCAGACAGTGGTAATTTGCAGTGCGTGCATAACAAGAAGTGGTTCTGGATGTTAGCTTCAGGAAGGATCCAAGCTTCTGGAGTCTTAATCAAAGATGGGGCAGTGGCCGAAAGGCAGTCTTCTCCATTGTTTTTGTTCTCACATGATCTGTCACATCTACCTCTAACCGCGATTACTGTCTGTCTACATGCACCTGCTCAAAACACTCTACATTACTGTCAGCTTTCTCCAAACATCTGGCCAGACAGGGCACAAAGAAAAGGGGAACGCTTTCTAAAAGGGAAACAGTACTGAAAGCTACTCCTGCATGTCTTTATACTCTTTACCTGTCAATGTGACTCAGTCCAGTCACTGACCAAGTAGCTGTTTAGTTGAATAGAGGCATGTCTTCACTGCCGATGCCACCTGCCCATTTGATCACACTGTCTTTTTTCTCATATTAAGTGTTTTTGTCCTTTTATAAGTATTTACTAGTTTTGTTTAAAGCCTTTTTGGATGGTGGAGGGTGATTCTGGGTGTTATGGACTCTATATACTATATTCTGGCTCAGACTGGGCTTGTGAAGAATGGTTCTGACCCGGAGTGTCTGCATGCTTCTGTTGGGGAAAACATTGAAACGTATGAATATCAAAAGGACTTTTTTTTGTTTTTGTTTTATGGCTGTTCTGTTATCAGAGGCTCAAACTGAGATCCCCCGCAAGTCCCTAAATCACAGGAATCTGACCATCTGCCATGGGCTCTAGGAGGAGTTATTTTGAAGGTGCAATTATGTTGAGAATCCTCTAAATTCATGGGTAGAAAACGATTATAGTCATATGATGCTCATCCTCCCTCTTCTGTTTCTGGCAAGCATCTCAATATCCGCCTGCTGTCAGTCTCTGGGCCTCTGGGAGGGATCTCAGTCTGGGCGCTGCGCCTGCTCTGTGCTGTGCACCTCTAGTGGAAGAAGTTTTGGTCTACTGTTTGCATGACCTGGTTAAATATGTTTACATGAATGATGATCAATTAGTATAAACACACATGATTATTATTACTCTGTTGTATTAAAAAATGATGTAATACTGTAATTTTGAGCTATATAATGTGAAGTGAGTAACACCAGAAGTAATGTTGTTGACAAAGTACAACACAGCACAGTGGACTTAACATTTGCATTGACTGTCTTGGTCAAGTCTCTACCTGAGTGACATTTCTCCTGTACTATTTATTTACTCATCTCGAATTTTATTTTTGTTAGTCTGTTTTCTTGCCGTTGCTTATGTAGAACCTCTTAAACTATTTATCCCTGTGTGATAGCCAGGCACAAGCAGAAACAAAAAAAGGTTACACAGGCGCCAGCCCAGCCACAATGCAAAACATGAAGAAAAAAAAAATAGGGCTGGAAACATCACCTGCCTGCCATGGGAGTAGCCTTCAGTGCGCAAGCTCTGCAGTCCTCCTGAGTAGATGAACTACGGTACTAAAGCCATACAGTGAAGTGGGGATGTTCTACTGTATAGATTCAGATATGTTGTCTTCTTATAAATATACGACTCAGATGAAGGATGGTGATGCTTTGCAAATATTTTATGTAAAAAAAAAAATAAAAAATTCTCCCTGCGACAAGTGGCTGAAAACAATTAAATCATACCATTATTAATTTATTATTAGTTAGCTGTAGAGATAGCCAACCAATCCATAAAAAAAATCATGCCCATATAAAACAATCTGTCATTGATACTTTCAGGTCCATAGTACAGTAAAATACAGCAGTCACTCTGGATTTACATGACATGTAATTATGGAAAATATGCAAACTGTGTGTGAAGGGCTTCATGTTAACTGTAATGTTGATGACTCTGACAACATGGCTATTATTTGTTTGGTAAATGACCTTATGTTGAAACTTACTTGGGATTTGTTTCCACTTGGCTGTGTTTTGTTTTTTTTGAAAAGCGTATTTTACCCATTACAAACACATCTAAATGCATAAAGAAACACGTGTATATTATATATATAATATAAGTATATATTGTATATCCTTTTTTGTAAAAGCTGTTTTGAGCTACAAATGTATGGATGCAATGCATCATGGGTTATTGAACAAGACGTAAAAAATACAATGATTTGTACCCACAAAGATATGATTGCAGGAAATGAAATAAATCTTCCTTGTCTATGCATTGTGTGTTCTGTCATTATGGAGTAACTTTAATTTTAGTGTGGTTTGGAAAGAAGTACCATTTATTATTTTCCAAAGATTAAATTAGTTTAAAACCTTTCCATACATAATCAAATGAATGTTCACTAGAACTTGATGGTTGTGACGTCGTCTTTTTTCTTTGTTTTGCACTTGCCTGCACATTTCATCACTGAGGAAAATATTCCAACATATCAATTTCCTATTGATACATATTTGTTAAACGTAAAACACACAAAGGACACAAAAGTCATTTTAATAGTCAACTTGGAATTACAATAACTCTCTGTGTGGACCTCATTCACATTGCCAGACATCATGTCAGTGCCCTCTTGAAAGCTCAGACAAATATACCTGAATAGACCACCACTTAATTGATGATGCTACACTCCACAACATCACAAAACCGATCTAACATGGCTGTATAAAACAATGAAATGTGTATGAAAACTGAATACACCAAAAAACAGATTGTAAATTGTGCTATAAAACCTCTGCCACATACTGACAACATAGAAAAATGTCCATCTTAGTAGTAGTATTATGGAAACAGAAACAAGACATATTACAAAATAGTAACACAAAAACTAACATATTATGGTGTAAATTCTGTTTGCATTGTTGGGAAGTGAGAAATTATATATGTAACAGCTACCGTACACGTGCAGCTCTCAGCTGTCACCACTGTCTACATAACAATCCAGCAGTCTGATTCAGCCATGTAGACTTAATGGTGTTATTCAAGTGAAGTCACTAATTTATTTTAATATTGATCACAACAGAAAAAACTGCTACTTTACATTTGCAGCTCTGGCCAGGTGCTTCACCTTATCTAATTGTTTTGCTGACCATGGATGCTCAGCTGTATAATCTATTTCTTGTACAGGTTTTAACACAAAACCCCTAACCCTCCAATAGCTATTTCATATTCTGTGTTGATATCCCCATCAACAGTCCATTGTAGTGACTGTCAACAGAAAACATTCAATCACGAATCACAACTGGCAAGCACTTCTTTTTCTCCTGCATCCAACGCTGCAGTTCTTCTCAGTCTCTCTTTGACTTGGAGGAACTCTGGTCCCTCTCGCTGCTGTCCTGTCTCTCTCTCCAGCTGTGGAGGAATTAAGACATATTAAAATTTTAGAGCTCATATGTGTAGCCACAGTAATGCAGCACCATTTTCACAAGATACTTTGTGAATAGGTTTTAAAGATAATTCTCTAAAATGAAAGGCCTGGTTCCATAGTTGTAAATGGTCTTACAAAATTCATTAAGTGCTGTATTTTAGTTTATATAAATAGAACACCTAGAAGGCATGAATACACACAGGATGTCTAAAGGATCAATGGTTTTCTTCCGGAGCCCAGACTGGACTGCTGTGTCGGAAACAATGTCTACACTGCCCTCCAGTGGCTGACTGCAGAACAGCTTAATGCTCCACATTGTACTGTATAATCACCATAGGATAATCATATACCACCATAGTCAATCATGTGTGTGGAAATACTGAGCAATTTCATTTGATACAATCATTTTGCTCTCAGAACAGATCATTTACTTTAATGTCAGCCACTACGACAATTTGTTAGTCAATGTGACGAGATTGTGTGTGAAAAATGTGCAAAAATAGAGCATGTTCTGTGCAAACCATTTCTAGCTTCTGATGTCTTTTCAACAGTTCTTGATGAAGTGGCAACCTGTTCTTCTTTGCCTCTTCCTGATCCCTGCTCGCTTTCATCCTTTGTTCCCATTTCCTCTTTTCTAAAGCCCTCTGGAGTTCAGTCTTTCCTTCTTGTGACACTATTCTGACCGAAACACAGAAGGACTTTATGATTTCGGGAAAAACAATAAAACTGGAGTGTGAATGTTCACGACACACTGTGTGTCTGCCCAACCTCTTGTGGGTCATCCGCAGTTCTTTATGGAGCTCCTGGTGACTCTTGGAGGCCGTTAAAGGATTGAGAGGTTTCTGGGGTCTGATGAGATTACTGCCCTCTTCCTCACTCTGTAGCGGAGGAGCCTGAAGCTCTGAGTATCGGTCTTCCTGCTCAATTTGGTGTGTCTGCATTACTGAGGCTGGAGAGAGAAAAAAACATACCAGCTTACAGTATATATTTTCCTACCAAGATTGTTTTCCTGTTCACCCTCTTCTTGTGATGCAGAATTCATCATACTTGCAAGTGACACATTCACCATTTACAGCTGGTTAGGTTTCAGTATTACAAACACATTATCTGTCCAAAGTTTTCTAATATTAGCCACCAGAAGCTACTGGTCCAAATAAGGTACCAAATGAGGCTGTAGCAACAAAAGCACAGAGTGTATATTTAGTTGCTTTCAGATTCATCTTTTCATTTCCGAAAGGAAGTTTTCAAAGTTACATTGTCTCGTTTATGTCCCTCAATTATGTTTTTATTGATTTATTATTACTCATCACTATCTTTACATTGTTGTATATATATATATAAAAAAATGACTTAGTTAAAAACACATTTTACAGACTTCAGTGTTGAATGTCAGGCAAATTGTTTATTGACAGCCACATAACAGTTCACTGACTTAACAAATGACAGTCAAATCAATAAAAATGCTTCTGCAGCAAACACTACAGTCACCACCTGTGCTTCATAGCGCAGATTCACAGGTGGCACAGACAGTTTCCTCCCTCAGTCATACAAACAGACCCTTACCCTGCCTCATTTATGACAATGATAATAAAAGCTTTTCAAACATGTAAATAGAAGTTTATTTTATTGGCAATCATAAATTTTATGTTTGGTTGCTAAATATTTTTAGATTTTGTTGTTGTTGTTGTTTGTATTACTTTGAATGTATGCTTATTTTAAATTGTTTGTTGTTGTTTTTTAACATGTTTGAAATAAATATATCAATCAATCAATCAAAGCAGTGGAAGAAGTACTCAGCAATGTGTATTAATACTCTGTTACAGCTAAAAGTCATGCATTCAAATGTATTAATAAAAAGTATTAGCATCAATATATACTCCTATACTTAATAATAATACTCAACAAAGCCCCGGAATTATAGTGGAGTAGAATAAACTTGCAGAAAATGAAAATACTCAAGTAGTAGTACCACAGTGGCTCAGGGGTCAGTACTGCTCTGCCTCAAAAGCAAGGTTCCAAGGACCCGATTTTATAGATTTTATAGTCAAAATAACAATTTGGAAATCTATATCTTCCAGCAATTGTCCTTCCATCAGCTCTGCAATAACATTATGCGTGTAGTAGCCTACTGCTTGTTGTTGCTTGTCGAACATGAACTGAAAATGGTAGAGGTGGGAAGACAAGTACTTACAAGATGGCATAAAAATCAACAATATCACATTGGATATTCATAGGTTTCTCACCAGACTGGACCGAGTGTGTCGCACTTCTACTTGGAAAATGTTGGAGATCTCTCTGTCGGCGGGAAAAAAGGAGATGATATGTAAAACAGAATATAACATATCTCACAGTTACTACCAACTTACCCATAAGCTATAGTGTGTGTAGCATTAAAAACAGGGAAGGATGAATATAGTGTGACACATGATAGCACTCCAAATAGATAGAAATCTCCCAGTCAGGTCAGCAATGCAGTTTCATGCAAATGGCAGGGAGAGTTGTGAGCAACACAAAGCCGCATTATGATGCTGACAGACAAATGAAGTGTCAGCTCCAGTTCCACATGTCCAGTGAAGCGAGGGCCCTTACTGGTGAGGTGGAGGGCTGCCACCTCATTAATGTCAGGATCAAACAAAACTCAGTTTGAGTCCCACTGAGTTACTCATTTGCTGGAGAATTAATAGTCGAGACAAGAATTATTCCCCTGCGGGCTTCAGACTGGGCTGCTGTCTGTGAAAGTGATTATTTCTGTATTTGCTGTTTGATGAAATATTTGTTTAATGTTGTTTAGATGTTTTAAAAATTAAAAAGCGTAGCAGATATACTTTTTGTTCTGCGCATTATCTACTATAGATACATTTACGTTATCGATCCATGTTCATGTTACATGATGGTTGTTGTAGCCTTGGCATTAGATAGATGCAATTCAGCTGCACCATGTCTGGCCATCTACACACACACACACACACACACACACACACACACAAACAATATATAGTAGCACTGCTAAATGTGTTCAAATAAAGTAAAGTTTAAACAAGATGACAGTAAATTGGAGGGAAGGAGGGGAAAGTGCAACCTAAATGAGGCATTTTAATGACAACTCTGCTTCTGGCTGCTGTTTGGTCGATGAGGGGAGAGTCACGCTGTTTGGCTAAATCTCCGACAGTGGATACTGTGTGGAGAAGAATTAATAGGACATGACGGGATAAACACTCTCCAAGGCCCACTCTCCGGCGTTGGCAAGATTTTTTTTTTTCATTGGATAAAGACCAGTGTTTGGTACAAGCACTCACTCTCTTTGGGAAATAAAAGATAGAGACAACAGTAGCAGACAAACCTACCAGAATGAAGTTCTGCAAAATAAAAGCTTTAACATGATACTCAAATTAATACTGTTGAAATCACTCATTAAGACAATAATATACTGTAACACTGGGTTTCTCATCATCTTTTAGTCTCTAAATCTTCTCAAACACACAATGCATGCCAGTCAACTACTGCTGCCACATGGATGCTTCTGCTGGATTATCTTAATGTGACTTGAGTAATCATACATGTGTTATGTCTCACAGGGAAGGACAAAAAGCAAATGAAGAATAAAAATCAACAAACTTACTTTCTTTCCATGGGTGACTCCCATGTCCTCACTGTTAGTCCAGTTGTAGTTTCTGCTGAGACACCTCCTGGGCTCAGAGTGGACAGAGTGTCAGTAATAATTAGAGGTTAGTCTCTTGCTCTGCCCCAGCAGCCCAGAATGCCAGAGAAAGAGGTAGCTGCCCTGCGTTTGGACCAATGCTGATGCTCCCAGGGAAGCGGCAACCAAGTGGAAGACAAACCCTGGAGAACAAGCCAAAAGTGCTGGAAGAACATTGAGTGTACAGCAGGGGTGGAAGTACTGCTCTTAAGTACTTGAGCATCTATTTTATGTTGATCTATATTTTAACTCCACCACATTTATCTGATAGCTGCAGTTAATAGATGCTTCTCAGATTAAGATTTTTCATAATAAAAACCACATGATAAACTTAATAATGACACCGCATTGTAAAAAATGAAACTATTGCTCCCAGACAACAAAAAAGCAGCATCTGGTTGGGGTTCCTAGTCATGTTTCAGATCTCTATGAGTTCTAGTTCCCATCTTAACTATAAACTCATATGATGCTCAGAAACCAGATAAGTCAAATTATAAATTTTGTACAAAAAAAGCAAAGCTTTGTTGAAAAGTCCAAAAAGTAATCCAAATTTGTGTATTGGAACTTACATTTTTCTTTTCTCCTCTCCCATTAATCATCTCACGACCCGTCACATTTATCTTGTGACCCTTGGGAGGCGGCCCCAAGGTGGGAGCCAGTAGACTTTAACTATCTAACTGTGCATACAGTAGTTAAAAGTAGCTCCACCTCAAGCAGCTATAAAATGCTGATTACACATGATTACACTGACACTTTTACTTACTGTAAGTAGAACACATATTTTCTTATGTATTTTGAATGCAGTAATTTTACTTGTAGGAGAGAACACTTTACACTGTAGTATTGGTAGTTTTACTTATGGAAAGTACACCACTGGTGAACAGGATGAAATGGAAAAGTATGCAACACATATTAATAGGAATAATAAGAAGTAATGTGAGAAGGAAAGGAAGTGCTGCCAAAAGTAAAGAAAAAGTGAGAAATATGAGATTTTAAAAAAAGGGCACTGCAGATTACAAAAACCGGAGCACCTGGTTTTCATTGACAGTTAAATGATAAATGATCTTTCACCTCCAGGAATAAGAACCAATATTGCTCATTTATCCTAGAGGGACAAAACTGCTGAAACAGTACACTAGTCAAGTGGAGACATTTTTATTTCTATATCCCAGAATCACATATGACAAACTTCCCTCTGACGGCTTTACAGTCTGTACAAAATGGTACACCTTCTGTCCTAAACTCAAGGAAAACTCCAGGCAGAGCAACAGCGGAGGGACCACACTTTCAGCATGAACAGACATGCAGTAGATGTTGAGAGTGGACAGAAGCAGCAGAAATAAAACTGCACACAATGCAATACATAAAACATAGCTTAAGCGAATAGTGGGTCCAACAGGTTACATCTTGAATTTCAGAAAGAGTGTAAAACTATTTGGTATGGCATCATTTTAGAGGGAATTCTTGAAAGGCCATGAAAAAAGGAAGATATTCTCCTTTTCATCACAAAGGTCCTTTAAGGTTCATGTCCGTCAGTTATGGTCCTTTGGAAGCAGCCGTCCACCTCCACCATATCCGGCCAGTTTTCATAAACGTTGGTTTTCTCTTCATTAACAGCTTGCTGACAGGTGAACAAGGAACACAGACATTTGTTTTGCCATCAATTATCATGCTTTTTTTTCTCTCTCTTTTTTTTTTTTAAACTTTTGGCGTATTTTAAAATAGACGGTCTTTTCTGACACAATTAGAACAAAGGAAAGAGGATGAACAGGCTCACTAACCTTCTCAAAGAGGGTTTTATTTTCTGCCCCTGCTCTTCCAGCAAACACCCAGCTGTCTCTGTGTTTTACAGATGTGATCAAAGTGCTTCCCATTCCAACAAATACATCCCTCATTTCTTTTGTCATCCTGCCACAGAGTAGAAGAAAAGGGTCACATCGTGTGATAAGAAATCGTTTTTAGCTGTTAAATCGTTGGGATTTGGACATACTTTGTTGTCACATCATCAAACGAGGCCACCAAAACAATCATTCCAGGTTTTATCGCGTTCAGGTACGCCAATATGTCGTGTGGGTCTTTTGTGTGGAGAAATTCAAAAGAAAAACATCATCATTTTAAAAACAAACTTTGAAATTGAAAACAGGATTGAAGAGATTATTTTTTAAAAAGTCCTCTTACTTCCAGATATCATATTAAGATAGCCACATTTTTCCACAACTCCTTTTTCACCTGAGGTGGACAAAAACATAATTAACAACTGACCAAATAAAACAAACAAAAAACAACTCAGCTCAAGGTAGCTGTTCTGGAGCTTTTAACCATATCACATGCTCTTCATATAGATGGCCCAAATGTTGTTACAATGTTCTTTTTCATGAGTACTTTAATCTACATTAGCTTTTTACATTAATAAAGAACCCACGAAGATCATGGAATATGACCGAAAGCTCCAGAACAGCTATGGACCTTTAGGCGAGATTGTTTTTATCAACTGCTGTTTCAAAGTTAAAAAATGAACTTTGAAGCCCAAATTGTTTGCTGTGTTTCATAGTCAAATCATACAGTCTATAGTACAGCAGTACTTTTAATATCTTTTTTAGTTTTTATCGGGGAGACTAGAGAATTATTTACTCACCATTTACCACCACAATGTTCAGTCCTGGTCCCACATTATTCAACACATGACTCATGATGCTGTTGAGATACCAGTAAGGTTGAGTTTCACTGCAGGGACACTATTTTCCTCTTGAGTTAATTTAGGCGCTACCATATTAAAAACATACATTTTACCATCAAAACAGATCTTTGGTCCGATAACATTAGCTGCTCCGCTCCTGATGTAAAAAGCGAAATGGTCGGGTGGACAGGCTCTAGAGAGGTTGCACTTAGGTGTAGCTGAAAAGGCAGGTGGAAAAGTGCTTCTGATGTGGCAGGAAGATAGTCATGCATTCAGTTACTGTGGAAGTTGTGATGTTGGAAATATCATTGAATGTACCTGTTTTGAATGTAGGTTTGATTTGATCTTCGTAATTAAGCCCTAAAATAAAATAATGGAGACAAAAGTATTAAGATGTGGCAAATAAAAGTGAATGAAAGCAGGTAGTCTAGGATTTAAGATGTAATAAGTAGAAATGAGCTCACTCAGAATACTTCTTGCTTTCCGCACATCAAATGAGTTAATGGAGATTCCCCATGTTATTAGGAGGACAGCAGTTACAGCAGCAAGGCGCAGAACAGCTGTCAACCACAATGAGTAGACAGATGAAGATTTGCAGACATACAACCAAAACTACCTGTTTTTTAAAAAAAATCTCACCTTGATATCTCATATCTACAATAAATCAGAGAGCTGTCTGATCCTAAAAGGTAGAGCTGAGACCCTTGAAAGGCGCTTCCAGTATTTCCTGTCAAGAAGAAATACTGTAGATAGAGCAGAGCTTTGGTGTCATCTCATCTGTGGAAATGCTTCCTGATAATTCCTACAACCATGCCTTGTGGGAGAGGCGTTTGGAAATGCAAAGAAAAGTGTCAGCTCCTGCTCCTCCTTGTGCTACATAAAACCAGGATGTGGTATTATATATACACACACACAAACACACCCTGCCTAAACTAGAGAAGATCAAGTTACGTTCTTATTTATTTATTTTTTTTACACTGTCAAATATGGGAAGGTGTCCAACAGTAACTGATAGTGTTTGTAGTGAACAATGGTGTGCAAACAAGCATTTGAAACCTTGAGAGGGAATGACAGAGGAGAAGAGAAAAAAAGGCCTTAAGCGTCATATTTCAAATTGCCTCAGTAAGAAAAAAAAATGTTTAAAGAATCACTGTCTGTTTATCCGTTTTCTATATGTATGTAAATTCTAGTAAATCCCATATGATGTGTGGAGTTATCTGCATAAAACTGCTGATACACCAAATAAAATGCTTCAGACTACAGCATAAAAAAGTAGTATGATTTCACTCAAAGCCTCCCTAAAAGCAAATAACTAAAAAAAAAAAAAATAAATCTAATAAACTCAAATTGCAATAACATCAGATGAGAAATCAATTTACAAAACAACCTTTAACCCCCTTTTCTTTTTTTACCACATAGGACATAAGGCATTCATGTCCATATTTTTGATAAACAGGCAATAATGATTGCGTCAGTCATTACTGGTGTTTAAACGGTAAAAGACATGATTAGGCATGGGCAGAGATACAGTACATCACAATGTAAAATAAGATCCTAAATATCCTAATTTAAAGTGTATCAAAACTACACAACACAGTAGCCACACCATGTATAATCTAATGAGTCACATGATTAATATGATGCATGCAATCAGTTAACAGATCAAATATTCACATATCCCTTTTCAAATCCGGATGAAGGTTCATTTTAAAGTAACCTACAGTTTAATGTTTAACTCACAGTCTGCTTTGTATCCTAACAGGGTTACTGTGTTATGTTACTGTTATGTTTGGAAATAAATGACCTACTTTGCATCCTCTGTTACAAAAAACACTAGTGCTGGATGGGTTGACAACCTGCTGTTAAATGTCATTGCAGGACAATGTTGTTAATGACAATAAGTGTGTGCATTTTAGTTAGAAGTTACTCCGTGGCATTATAAACAATTGTTATACAATTCTAAAACACGTTTTTTTTGTTTTGTGCACAACCAATGAAAACTCAACAAAGATTGAAAGTAGCAAGCTAATGTTAACTGTGAGTGCTGCTACTCAGGACATGGTCATAGTGAGCTGACCCAAAGCCCTTTAGCTCTTTAGATAAAGCGCTCCATCACGTAATTTGGTAAATGATTTAGCCCTGGCTACTAAAATGAAAAACAAAACTTAACAGGAACTAACTACAAGAACTGTAGCAATGGATGCTAAAAATGGATGGAAAGCTCTAACATGGACCTCCTTCTTAAGGTCTGGACAAAATTACTGAGTAGGCACCAATCAGAGGCAGCATTTTTATGATATCATCACGCAGACTTCCTGCAAAGTATTTTACCGTGTTTTTAAACTACAAACTACAAAACTATTTTGAAACAAACAATGAACCCATTTTCATCATCCCTATCAAATACAAATTACAAAACCTTATTTTGTATTTAAATACGTGTCATAAACACTGCCCATTCCTGGACATGATGATCTCATAAAGCAGTCAGTAAGCGTAGACCATGCTGATCAGCAGCTGAGCCCTAGCTTTCACCTGCCTGGAGGGGTCCAAACAAAAATAGCATTTCGCTGCAGGCAGTGATGAACTGATGTTATTAAAGTTACTCTGGCCAAATCATAAAAAGTTCATAATCATAATTTATCCATCAAAAAACAGTTGATAAGCTGACTACAGAATTAAAGCTACTGTGAAGCCAGCTCTTAGAGACAGGGGTGAGATATTAACATTAGATGTTGCTTAGATACATTAAATGCCATGAATTATTTTCCTGTCTGGAACCTGAAAACTCTTGTAATGAAATGTTAAAATGTACTAAAAGACACACTAGAGGTGAATTATGGTCCAGAATGTTTGTTGTTTGTGTCTGACCTGCTCTTTACTCAAACCTTGTCACTGGTTTGTTTTCAGTCTTCTAGTTTGTGTCTCTGTGGCCCCTGACACTGACTGCCCTGTTTGTTGGTAATGATTTATATTACATTCTGTGTTTAGGCTGTTAGTGTTACATATGAAGAGATTTACATTGTAACAGCATCTTAACTCATGGGGTCCTCAAATTCCCAACATGGTGTAATACTAGAGAGAACCAGCAGGGGGTCTATGTGTACTACATTTCACTGATGGGAGGGAACATTATGCATTCAGAGAATCTAACTGGATGGCACTGTGAGAATAAAATATGCGTGTTTTGTTGTTCTTTTTCAGTGAACAATATGCCTGTCCACTTTAGCAGGAATAATAAAACACAGCTAGTTTTAAATGGGCCGCATTAGGAAGCGAACAGTACAAACAAGCAGAGACGCTCTTCAGATAAGAGACAAAACAGGTAAATTATGCAGGTCATGACTCCACAGTCCACAGGATGAATATATTTATTAACCACCATACATATTTCTCAAATGTACAACATAATATAGTGGTACAGTGATCATTAACATCATTCACCATCATCAGTAACTGTAGAACAAATCCATATCATTAGATGTTGCAATAATACTTGAACTTCAAACTCATAACACTCATAGGGGGAGGGGGTCGCAGGGTCGCAACAGACAACAGACTGATTCAGTTGCTTAATTTGTTGATCATACAAACACTAATTAAAAGAGAAACTATAGCAAAATGATTTCTCATTCTTAATCAGTTTGAGCATCCTGTGTCACTGAAGTTCAACAAAATAATGTTCACTCGTAACTCCCTAGCAGGTGGAGTTTCTGTGTTTATTTTGTTTTCTTTGTGGCAAATGTACGTAGCTGTCAAAAGATAACGCGCGGCATCGCTCAGCCTAGAAGTCCATTTCAGTGGAATTCTACAGCAAATTCAATTTAAGTGGGTTAATGTTGAAAAGGGGAATATATTTCAAAGGGAACAGGCCAACTGGTAGATAGCTGCAGTCTTAGTGTGCCTATTTTTAGCTGCAAGTCAATTAGGGTGTTTGAAATCATCAGAAATGTCAAATCTCCATGTGATGCTTTATAGTAACCACTTATTTCATGACTGCTGGTGCGTTCTCTGAAACATTCAGGCCGATACTGAACGAATGTAAAGGTGTTAATTACCTTGAGTCCATTGCAGGTGAAATACAGTAACGCTACAATAAAATGTTTTGCTACATTTTGATTTATTCATATGTATATTATATTTAACCACATTCATGCAAATTATTATGCTGTTGCTGTTAAATTATTGCCTGGCAACCACTTTATTTGTTTCCACAGGTTTTATTTTTTTTATCTCTCCATTCTTTAATCTCATGTGTATGAGTGCCAATAATAGCAGACTGTATACATATTCATTTGTTATTTTTTTAACTGGGCATTTTATCATACCAGAATTCATTATAAAGTCATTATACATTTTTATTTACAAACTAATTGACAGAGCATTTATATGACCAGTGAAAAATCTGTGCAGTGGAGTGTTGATTCTCAGTGGGATCAACAGGACAAACCTCCAGAAGTCATTTGATCAAGGGCCTAGGTTTGGTTTCAGACGTCAGGGAAAGGAGAAAAAGTCTGAGATTATTCAAGTAAAAGGTATGTGAATGCTGTTTCTGGCATTTTGATTATTCAAAACAATCTAGAAAATAACAAATTATTATGAAGTATCTGTTGCTGTTTTCTTAATACACTAACTCTACTTAAAAATCATCTTTTGCTTTGTTGGTTTGTTTTTAAGATCAATAAATATCACATGTATCTTCACAAAAGAGTGCTTTTCTGCCATATCTAAAACTGAACAGCACATTTTTAGGAGAATATTGACAGCGAAAAAAAGTCAGGGTTATTTTGATTTAAGAAGCTCCTCCACAGTAACAGAATGAATTGTGTAACTGTTTTCACAGGCCCTGATAAGACACTGATGTTTAAAATCTGTGAAGTGTTGCTTTAAAAGATCTGGTTGATCTGGTGATTACTGTCACTGATAATACAGATTAAAAGCAATATCTCACATTAGAAACATAAATAACACTCTGATAAGAATTCAAGCCAGATGATGAACAGAAATAAAGAAACATAAACTACTTCACAGCTGTAACTCAGATTAATCGATAAGTCAAACGACTTATTAATCGGCAAACATTTTGATGGTTGGTCAATTATTTGGGCTATTATGTTTAAGCAAAATAATTAGCTCTAGTGTGAGAATGTGTTGCTTTTCGTTGTCTTAAATCACATAAAGTTTTGGAATGCTGTTTGAACAAAGCAATACATTTAATGATGTCATGGGCTGTAGGAAAGAGAGACGGGTATTTTTGTTGTGTGGACCAAATGATTAATCAACCAATAAAAAAAAACATCTGAAGATGAATCGATAATGAAAATAATCATTAGTTGCAGCCCTAAACCACACAACTCACGGACAATAAACTCTTTTTCAGTGGCCCAGCAGCATCCCGGTCTGAGATTTTATTCCAAAAGATCCTGTCACAAGGTAAAAAACAAGGAAGTTACAAATGACGTGATGTGATGAGGAAGGTTACAGCTGTGTCAACATTTACTGTGGGATGGATGACAGTGAAAGCTACAATCAGGGAAGCCCTGATGCACTGACCTCATCTGACTCCTCTCCCACTGTGCAGGGCCCCCTGTCACCATCCTCCTCTGTCACTGCTGAACCCTGAACCTCCATCCGCCTCAGCACAGAGTATCTATATGTCGCCTCACTGAAATAAAGTGATGTGACAGACTCGGGTGATGTGTTTTGACTGCACTAAGAATTTGAAATGAGCTCGTTAAGGCTCATTAATAAAGTTGCTTACTTGACTGGGAAGCAGTACTTTCGGATGATCAATACAGCAGCAACGACTGCTGCCACAGAGACGAAGATCACCGATGCAATAATCCCAGGGTGAAGCCTTAACCCAGCCTAAAAAGACAAATGAATCCAATAAGATCTAACAGTGGGGTAGTTAAAGAGCCCATAAACCTAACAGCTGAATTCATGATGTGTGGCTCAGATAAAAAGGAAATACGGGCAGGAGACATGACAGCTGAACAGCACTCTGTTATGAATCACACTGGTGTGCGACCAAAAAAGCTCAACAGCAGGGGTGTGAATCACTGACCGAGCAGGAAAACTGATGCCTTTTTGACAATAACTGATCACAAGCCCGTATCTTCAAAGTCAGAGCATAAGACCATAGGTAATGTTAGGGGTAGAGCGTGAGAACATTAGTTTCTTGATGATTCACATGGAGTGCGGCCAAAATGTAAAAATCCAACAGGAACAGGATGTGTCCCATATGAAAAGCAATGAAACTGTGATGAGACATGACTGTAGTGACATAATGACATTACTTTCTCTTTGATTAAGAAATATTATTTGAAAACATATAAGGAACACAACAATGTCCAATTGTTCCTTTAAACAAAAATGCAACAGTCAAAATCAGTCAAATGTGTCTGTAAATAGGGGGGAGGGCTTTTTGTGCAAGTTCTGAGCACACATTTATAACAGACAGAATCTCTGCTACTTTTTGTTTAGCCTCATATCTGGCTCCTTATGATACTTTATCTTACTTTATGTAAGGTGCTAAATCATACTGGGTTCTGCAGTTGAAAAGTATCAGTCAAAGCCAAATTTGGAGCTCCCACACATTCATAAAGCATATGCAGTCTCTGCGCAGAGATGGACATAAACCCAAAGTCAGGAACACCTATTATTATTAAAGTACTCTGTAATTTACATGCTATTCTACTTAGTTAATCTACTACATTATGACTCTGAAAGTGAAGTGAACTTGGCAACCTGAACGATTCCAGATAGATTTGTAAAACAGTTTAGAGTACTGCGCAATGAAAATATTTGAGCCTCGCAAACATAGTATAGAGTATTTGTTGTATTGTTCCCCTCTTAAATGTGGTGCTTTTACTGCAAAGTGCACCTATTTTAATAATCCGACTACAGCATAATTTCAGCCTGTTAGAAACACGCGAAACATTTCCATCTCTCTGCTTCCACATACTGTATGTCAACAAGTTTAAACGGCTTCACGGCTAACATAATAGACGTAGATGAGTAGTGGGCGAAGTTAATGTCAAGCAACTCTGATGAATTATCATATTAAGTGGTCGTACTATTGTATTAAGTCTACAAGCCAAAGACAATTACAGCAGGAATATAATGGATCTGCTTGCCTTACTGAGTCTTTATGTTATTTACCTGTTGTGCTGACATCCTTGTCCTTTCTCTGGTCTGGTTAACCTACTTTCATCATGAAACAATCAAGCTCAGTACACTGTACCCTAATTGATTGTAATTAAGCCCCAAACTGGTGGTGAAAATGTGGATTATTTAATACAAATATTTGCTGCCTGACTTTAACGCCATGACTTGTTTACTTCCTGGTTGCTCTCACCTTTTGCGAAAGTCGCATTTCCACGCCCCCTTTCAGGAAACGTGACATCTGGGTCGCGTGTCAGTCACGTGGCCCTCTAATGAGACACATTCAAAACACTACATTTCACCATGCATTTCACCCACTCACTCCACTTTTTAAATGTAAAAATACCCTGTCAAATGGCAACATATTACTGATATAAAGCCTCAAGTTCACAGAAATCTTCTGAAAAGGAGCACATTTAGTGGATGACCCCCTAGGTCAAATAGCATACATCACTAGATAAAGCATTAAGATCATCCAACGAAGGTTAAAAATCAAGGGCAACTGGACTTGGTTGAAGATACTGGAAGACGTTTCGTCCCTCATCCAAAGGACTTCTTCAGTTCTGACTGACTGGCAGGGAAACTCAGCTATTTAACCTCAGTGGGGTCGTTATCCCGGGTCATCGATACCGCTGGTTCGTTAGTGTTCCTTGTTGCTGTGACGACAGTCGTTAAGACTACCTGTGGCCAAGACTGAACGACCATCGTTGGTATCTTCACCTGAGGCCAATAGGTTACGTTTGTTGAGTTTTCATTAAGATCATGTTTCAACTAAAGGAATGTAAAAAAACAAAGGTGCTTAAAAGCAGCTTGTGCATTCCTCAAGGCGCAATTAAACCAGTTTTCGGTGCCATATAAAAGTATATTCAAATGTTTAATGTTGTATCTAAATTGTTGAGTTCTATGTCCAAGAGTGTGGCACACAGTATTTGTTGCTTGAGCTATTGTTTGTTGAATACGGCACATAAACAGTGTGAAGTGTCACAAATTATGAATCCATTTTCTCTGACATTTCATGAAATGTAATTGTGAGCAGCCCAGTGTCCTGGCCGGGCCAGCAGGATCACTGATCCAGTCGGGTTATTGTTTGATTAAAACTACTGAGAATCACAATGTGATAAATGAATGTTGTTTTTCCCTCTGTTTTGTTTCATTTTTTCCCGTCATTGGGAAGCAACAATTCATCTCAGGCTGAAAATGATGAATCAATCTCGTATCAGCCGCTCATCAGGTGTGATCAGTGTTTTGGCGAGACTGATGAAAAGACCCTGCCAGCCCCATGAGCTCCCCGTCTGTTCCTAAAAATCCTAGTTCATCTGAGAATACAGTTATTACAACAAGGGACACTTTTAACTGTGGAATGTTCAACATTTCAAATGCATTCAAAATCAATCAGTCTTTGATCATTTTTGTTGTTGGGTTATTAAATAAGTACAGCTCTGTCCAACCAGCACCACCAGGAGACTTTAATTAAAATCCACACGTGAATCCAACAGCCATTTCAATTCAAATTTTATTCCAAATAATTTATACACAACATATTTTCAATTACTTTTTTACACAAATGATAAATAAAGAACTAAATGACCTATACTGTAATACCAATCCAGGCAAAATTTAAATGTCAGAATTCTCCTAAGTAAAAAGAAGCTCCAGGATGTTCTTTGAAAAGGCTTACATATTCATTTGCTAGCCAAGACTTCTGAAAAGACTCTCTCTTCCATCAGATGTGCTACTGAATGGGCAACAACTGAATTCCTTGCAAAAAGCATGTATCTGATTTACTGAGTCACACTCCTTTACACACTAACATGACACTACTTATGGAGACACGAAGCTCCTGTTAGTCTCTCAAAATACAAAAGCGGCAACACGGAAAGGTTTTTGTGAATGGGGTATTCATGGCTGATCAATAAGCTAGGCCTGAAAAAAAATCCTAAAACCATTCATCCACTGTCAGTGACTTCTGATTTATTAATTTCGATTCTCTAGAGCTTTGAGTCAAGCTAGTTCATAGTACTTCCCCGTCTTTGGATCGAAATAGCAGTTCAGGCAAGGATCATAGAGCAGATTCAAATACTCGTCCTCATTCCCGTCTTCATCCACCGTCTCATACTCTCCTGCAAAAATGCAAGACAATCACTCTGCGAAAAAACATACATAGATAACAGTGCAACAGTAATTCAAATCAATTACGTTTGCACAGATAAAACATATACAAATGAATATTGCATTTTCTATATACAGTAGCATAGCCATGCCAGATATGAATATGGTGGTCCTCTATCAGCTGCTGCTGAAATGAAATGAGAAGCGTGAATGGTGAGGTGACCTTCAGACTCAGGTGGATTTAAAAGTTTTCTGCCGCTGCCATTCTTTCGCTCATCAATCAAGACCTAAGACACCCAGACCCTGCACCACATTATGAAGCTGTAAAGAGATTCCCTGTAATCCCCACTACTTTAAAGCATGAGAATTTAGCTGTTAAATTGACAGGCAGTTAAATGCTAAAAAGGTTATGGGATGCTTCGGGAAGAACATTTTATCTTATCAGAACTTTGGTGACGATAATGAAAACTAATTATAAGACACATTGTGTAAGAGGTTTAAAAAATGATGTTGTAAACTGAAAAGGTTTCATCAATTAACCTTGTGGATGTGTCTAGGGGGTACAGACCTGTAATGAGCCTGTCTCTTTTGACCTATGGAGTTATGTGGAGGACAGAGAGCTCCACTCTCATGGGTTCTTACCCTTAATTAGATACACTTTCACACGCTCTTCCACCATGCCGAGAGCAGTCTTAGGTGGAAGCTTGACATTTTTGTAAGCCTTGACACCAGTGAATGTTTCCATTAGTTCTATGCATTTGCGCAATTAGTGTGGTTAATGTTAAGGCATTGTATTGTTTGCTGTCTACCTGACATTAAAGGGCATAAAAGGCGGTCTGGGGGTAAAAGGATCAAAATTAAGGTTACTGTACCACCGATTAGATTTTCCCGATTTCTCCACGTGTTGCCTGACCTTCTCCGCTGGCTGGGAGGCACAATAGGAGGGCTGAGCACATCCATCCACTCCCTAGGGAGAAGACCATAAAGGCACACAGTCATGACAACGCATGCCATTATGATCCCCATCCTACTACTGTACCCTGCACATCAAATTGCCTCTATATGACATTTTAACAATGAAGTCCCATCACTGTGTGCTCTCAGAAGCCCATCTAAGCTTCCATCGTCCTTGAGCCACTTCTGTTGCACACTTAGCCTCTCCGCCTCACAGTTTTACCTGAAGGATCATTTATTAGATTCTGACTCGAGCTGTGTCCACATTCTGGCCCAGAGTAGGGGTCTTAACCTTGTCTCTGTAAGCGGGACTTCCTCTCACTGTAAATGAGTTTATCCTCCCAGTCTGAGAAGTACACAGCTACAACTACACATCAATCATCTTTCAGTCAAGTCAAACACTGCTCTTTTAATATGGTGCAACAGATTAGAGGATGAGAAAAATGCCACAAGATGAATTATAGGTTAGAAGCACCACAAGATTGATTTGTTAAACATAATTCATCAACCATTTTAGGCTATACATCAGTTGCACAGTTGCAATTATCCATTTACATATTTTGCCTGAGGGCATAAACATCTCAAGCATAACATCATAGCATGTTTAATGAGGAACTATAATCGTCTTCTGGGCAATATTCAACTAACAGCAGGCAATTCAAATGTTCATCTCAGCTTGGTCTGTCTCGCCATCAAGAACTGCAATGACTGATAATGTCTCTGAAAACAAAATACATTCATTAACTGCAGTATAAGCTGTTTACTAAGCACGTGCACTACTGACAAAATTCTGGCATGCTAATACCTTCAGCAGACTACGTTCAAAACATTTACAATTCTAGTATTTTATCTGATTAACTTTACTGTTGTAGACCAGCAGTACACGTGCATCTATATTAGTGATATGGTATTTGGAACTAGCAGTAGTAAAAATACCAAAGATGCCAATGCTATCTTAAAGAACTTTTTAACAGTATGTCAAAAAACAATATCTTAACACCTGTATGAAACAGTAAGGTAAAATGCAAAGCTTTCATTTGATATACACACAGCTGAAATAGGCCTATACATACATGTTCATACACTGTGGCTCCCATAGACCAACAAAATGAAAGAGCAAAAATTTCAAAAATTAACACTTAGAAACAGGAAGATTAATTTTATCAGATCCTTCCATGCATTTGAGCATGAATTTGAAATGTCCTACTTTCTAACTATGTGCCTCTAAAGCGATCAAGCACATTATCTCTATTGAGGCTCTGATTTTTCTTTCTAACAAAAGGCATTTACTACACTCTAACACCCCTTTGACTGTGTGATAGGCAGGAACATCGTACAAATGTTAATGGAAACAATTTTCAAGGACAAAGGCCTCTGCTACAGAGCCGCAAATTGGACTTCAAATTGTTCAAAGGGACTTGGCTAAAGTGATTAAATTCCTTTCTAGAGAACCTGTGATAAAGATAAGAAATTAGTTTGATTTCATTTGAGTCCACTGTTTTTGCACATTGGTGAAGTATATTGAAATTAAGCTTTCCAAATATCTCCCAATGAAACTGTATCACGGCAACCCTTGTTTGTCTGACATCCTGGCTGTACTAAATTTCACAACTGTCTTTATTGTAAAACAATTGAATTGAAACGCAGGGTCTCTCTGATAGCCTAATTTGTGGTTTCACATTTGGCATGCCAGCCAAAGGCAGACACAACCATCACAGGCAAAGCAACATGTTAAAAATGCTAGAAAAGCCCTGCCAACAATAAGCACAGAACCATGAGCGTTTTAACTGTCAAGAAAACTGTAGCTCTCAACAGCGATGAAGCCTTGCAGTGATGCCAGAAAGCTCAAAAAAACACCATGATAGAATTCACTGTAAGGGTGTCTGAAAATGTAATGCCTAAAAGAAAAGGAGCGGAAAACAACGACAAATCCTGTGCAGCTGCTCTTCAATATGTAAATCAAGGCTTGCTTCAAAGTCTAATTTCAGTAAGTACCGCTGCGGATGCTCTAGTGCTGTTTGAGACAAGTCGGGGAGTATGTTTGAGGTGACTGTCAATAGTAATATTCATTTCAGTGGACATATCAGAATAGCCTCACTGAATATTTAAACAGCTTCAAAACATGTTAGCACTGAAATATAACCCCCCCCCCCCAAAAAAGGAAGCAAAAATTGTTCCCTGCGTGTGCCTACTGTTGATTTCCCATTTTTAAACCCATTTTAAACAATAACACCTGGCAAAAGATTCCAATACATATGTTCACACAAGGCTAGCTTGCTTTTCATCAATAAATCAAAAGTGTTAGAGAGGAGGTGGTTGCATAATTTGAGTAGCGGAACTATGATGCAATCCCTTTGTCTTGTTTTGTAACATGCCGAATGGTTGTGTACACCCACGAAGAGATGGAGATGTGCAGAGACGGGGCTCTGCATCAGTGGGCAGTGGGGCGATGAAAGAGTCTCCAGAACCCTCTGAAGGGGAACCAAGGGATCGAACTATATGCTGCCATGGTTGGGTCTTGAGATGGCTATGTAGTGCTTGCTTTAGATACTGCCCAGAATTCATAGTTCACTATGCTCCCAAAGTTAATGTGTGTTATTGTATTATTAATAACAGTATTGATAGTTTTCTCCTCCCTTGTTCCCACATTCAACACATGAAAACCTGCCTCCTAGAGCCTTAACTCTGAGCTATTTTCCCTCATTGCAAAAAAAATAGTACTTAATTTTACTTAATCTTTCCTAGAAAACTACAAAGTCCATTTAATTCCCTTTAAAGAAAAACACCCAATCTCAGATTCTCTTTCACTGCTACATAACAACAATCTGTCATCGTACCACCCAAGAGGGTATTTTCAGGTGAAGTGTTGTAAACTGACCACTTTATCTCATTTCACTTTGTCAACCTCTGGTTCATTTGGTGGTTTCACAGGTTGTCTGGGCTACATAATTCCTCATGAGTTCTTCTTAGCACCATACTTGCCTGAAGCTGATATTGGATCCGCTTTCCCAAATATTTAAAAGTTGCAAGTTCTTCTGCCTCCTCCAGTAATATAAGCCCATTCATCAATATGTTTTCTTTTTGAGGTTTTGAGAACTTTAACTTTACTCTGGTTTTGAACCTGTAGGCAGGTAAAACAAGGTGGAACATGTCTTGTGGCTGCTTTGCATTATAAACTTCTGAGGATTTCTCTTTGTATGGTTGCTGAAAGTCATTTCTAAATTGTGAGTCTAACCCATGCTTTTGATTTTTAAGGACTTGAACCACAAACTTTATGTCTAACATTAACTGTCTGGTAGATAAAAAGTTGCCTGACAAGAACAATAATAAGTGAGAAATAATATATACTTGTGAAACTGACAACAGCAGTTAAGGGAGACAAAACTACAGTACCTGGCACACTCTCAATTTATTTATATGGATCTATGAGCGAGATAAGCCCCAGTCTGCAGATCTATCTGGCAGTTGACATTTAGCCTTAATTCTGCAGTCACTGGTTACCATCTGATTATGAATTTCAGGTTGGGTTTTATGTACATGCAGCCAAATATAAACACAGGCTACATCAGGCTGTTTTTTTAATAATTTTTATCAGGCAATGCATGAAGTACATCACTGTGGCTTTCTAATAACAACCCTGTACCCAAAAAGTTGTGTTTTTGGAGACAATAAGAAAACTACTCTATTCATAGCCTGATATTTGTGCATGTTCATGAGAATGGCACCACAACACAAGAGGAACCATTTCTTGTAGTGTATATTTTATTATACATTTAAAAAATTGGGAGCTCAGCAAAGTGTTTTCACTACAAATGTGTGCAATACATGCTTACTTACCTGGGGTTTGATTGCAGGAGGGGGTTCATTTCCTTCTGATAGTGATGGCCCTGATTTGCTGGCTGGATCAGCAATGTAAGTAAAAAGTCAAAGGTTGTGTTAAAAATATCACCAAACACTCATAACTCAAGTACTTACAGGAGGTTTCAAAAATCATTGATATTATGTTGTCTCCATTCGGTTTAAAAGACCAGTAAGTGATCTGTAGGGGGGCATAAAAAGAATATAACATACACTCAAGATTGAAAATGTTTTTGGGCTTAGAACTCTCATTCGGTCCACCACTATCAGACTACTATTTAAACTCAATTGCTTGACAAAATGATGGCTGTCTCTAAACAAAAATTGCGTACTTCTGCACAGATAAAGTCACAGGCCATATTGTCATTGTTGTGCACATGGAGAATTTTGTAATATCAAGGGCAATTATTGCAGTGTACTTGGATTTTATTGCCAATGGAAAACAGGTTGTATCCTTAAATCTGGGACACAGAAACATATGAAAATGTACCTTCTATTTCTTTCTGTGCTTTTCTGAATACATCTACTGCAGCTTAGCCAGAGAAGTCAACTATGTCATCATGCCACTTAATAATTTCTGTCTTTCTACAAAGCGTCACTCAGGGTGAGGAGCAGACCACTGTCCAGAACATCACCTCAGTTGCCCAATTTTATATACAATACCGCATTGAAATCTACAGGCACCCATCAACAACATAACCGTAGCAAGCCCAAGGCTACATGATTTTCACAAAAACCTTAGCACAACAAGAAATTGAGCTTCTAAAGGTTTATGGAAATCATTGTGCAGCCTGTTAGGGTCAGGACAAAAAAGTCCTTTTTTATGTTGTGTGGCGTGCTAACTGGCTAACAAGTCAAGTATGAAAGATCGCAGCCTTTCTGGCAGAGGAGAGAAAAACATACAAAAGAAAAATGGAGAGAGCAGCAAGATGCAGAAAACATGGGTGAAAAATGAAGGGTGACCAAACCGAGATCAAAGGAGCCGTAAAATCTGTTCAGAAATGTAGATGTACTCTAACCGTAGGGTAACAAAGGATTGGAACTGGGTTGCATTTCTGATCGGCTACATTCTTTGTGAGCTGTGAGTATAAAAGACGTTTAACTGAGGTGGAAGATAAGAATGGTTTCACTTTGAATATATAGTAATATTTAGCTGTAAGAAACACAAGTGCATTACCCTCTCCATCTCCATTACTCTCCAAGCCTCAGGAGGCTATTTAAGTCTAGTGCCTGCTTAAAGGCTATTACATTACATGACGTTGATGAAGAAGCAGTCATGTTGAAGCTGTAGTCCTTGCACTGCTAAAGTAAATTTTACCTATCTGTGTGCTCCAGCACCTTCTGTATTTAATCCTCTTCTAAAAATAAGACGGGACCTAAAATTGTACCCTGTAGAGTTCTGCAGGTAATATGTACTGATGATGATGAGTTACCTGTGAGGTGAATATTCTTCTGGGGAGGTAGGAGCTGAACCATTTCTGTACTCTATCTGTAATATTGAACCCAGTGCCTCAAACGGTCATTTAAACTTACATGAAGTGAAGAATCAAAGGGAACGCTTAGGTCTACAATAATTGGAAGAACATCTGCTGCCAAAAGAAGTATATTACTTATTTTGAACAGACATCAACTCTTAATCCAACAGCAAAATGTGGTCCGGAGTGTGAACCCAGCTGCAGTGGCTGCCTGCAGCTGCAGAGTCAGTGCAATGACATGCCCAGAAAAACCCAGGATAGGGGTTGGCTAAGAGGTCACTACACACCAAGTATGGCTCTGATCATCATTGCCGGAGACTCTATCATTTCTGGCCCCTTTTGCAGCCCTCTGGTCTGGAGATATAAAGCTCGGTAGCAGCAACCTTCAGTTCAAAACATTCTGTTGTAAAACTATGCTGCACAGCAATGTCTGGGCTGTGCAGACCTATATTGCAATGATGTTCAACAAAACAGTGCTAAGGCCAGATAATTTCTTAATTAATATCTATCTGACTGCCTTATTTATCAAGGTAGTTTCCAGGTGATAGCTGGCGGATCAACTGTGGATCAACTCCACTCCAGTCCAATCCAGCTTTTTCTTCTGTATATTGTACAGTTCATATTGTTTACCCCCCATTGTGCAACTGCCCTGCAGGCTGAGCAGTACATTAGCGAATCTCAGACCTATCACTTCCTCTTCATACAATTACACACTAATATTAACAACCCTCCCTTGATTTCAAGAACTTTCCTAGACTAACTGCACACCAAAATGTAAGGAGCTTGCTTCCAAAATTGGATTTGTGCCATTAAGAGCAACTGCACCAGAGAGACCTCACGAAAGCCTGGCTCAAGGAAGACATGAATGTTGCTGCATTTAACTCGTTTAGATGTGACATGAATTGATATGATGTAAAGAATTGTTTCACTGTAGAATTAGCTAACTATTCTTCAAAACTCTGACTATGTTGCTCTAAATATACAGTATATGCTAGGGGAAATACTTACATTAATTGCATATTGTATTTACCTCTCCCTTTTTTACTTATGGTTATCCTTAATTAGAAATACTCCTTAGGGGTGAGTACCAGTTTCATATTTTTCTAATAAACTTACCCCCATTGCTCAATAGATCTAATCTGTAGTTTTCACCCCTTTACTTGCTGTGGCTGTTTGAAACATAAAGATATAATGATCCACTGCGAGAGCTTTTGGCACAAACACTGCCTGGTTGAATTACAGAAGCATCGTCCTTTTTTATAAGGTGCAATCATAGTTACTTTTTTAGTAAAATTTTAAAAACATTTTGAATCCTTCTGCTCTCATCATAAATTAAATGTTTATGTAAAAACTAACTGTTCACCATTGCCATTTGAGTTCATTGTAACTTACACATATTCAGTGTGATGGAAGAAACGGCCTCTTTTCAAGCCAAGAGGGGGTGAGTACCTCAGATCTGACATCTGTAGTTCTTACTACAGTCATGCGCCCACAGAGAGAATATGTATCAAATCCAGAACCACATACTGAGGTGTCTGAAATCTAGATCACACAATCTACAAGGTGATTCTTTTGTGTTCAACCTAGTGACCAAAGCAAAGCATATAATCGCCTGTGGGTTAAGTTACGTCTGGGCTTGTACAACAGCTTCAGCAGCAGAGACAGAAGCAGCAGCAGCATAGATAGCAACAGCAGGGCCACCCGAATCACAGCATCAAGGGATAAGAAGTGGCTTGTCAGTTCTGGTGGAGCCGGCCCTAGACACTGACTATTCCCTTCATAAAACCATTATCACAGACGCATATTACGGCCTTTTGAAGTTTTATTTGTTATGTTCCCAAAACTATATTTGTATTTGAAAAATCACTTTTATGGCTATCTTTATCTCTCTTGCTCTCTTTATTGGCGAGCATTTTCCCAGTATGCTGATGGTGGTGCTGTTGCCATATGTATTTAGAACTGTAAAGCACTGCAGCTGATTCTGAAAACATCACTTCAGGGTTTGATCAAGTCAGATGTAAATTCCATTTTGTCCCCGTGGAAAACTGTAAGGTCTAAAGATACATGTTTTTTTACTGGTGGCCACATCACTGTGTCCTCAAAAAGGAACCATGAGACGATAATCCCTGTGGTAATACTATTCATTGTGTGTGTTCTGCTTGAATGTCAGTATATTAATGGATACCTGCATGTACAGAATTGGTAGCAGGCCTATAACTCGAGCATCTGTAATGATTGTGTTCACTGGGGATCCTACAGTGGACCCGGTTGGGCCAGACAGGGCAGTGCTCTCCCGTCACAAGTGCAATGCGCTTATGCTAATGGACCATAGATCTAAATGACCTTCAATAGCCAAGAGCAAACTATACTATCTTTGAATTCTAAAAGACTTCTGGGGATAATTTCAAATGACCTAAATAATTTTTAGTCACTGGGGGAACTGTGGATATTCTGCCAGTGTACTTTTAAAAGCTCTAAGAGGCCAATTAATGTGTATCTATCTCCATAATCTTTTGTAATGCAGAAAACACGCTGGAGAAAGAGGTGCATTAGCACTTCATGGTGGCATAAGTTGGGGGTTTGAAATGGAAATTAGCAAGGGTGAGGATCAACCAGGGTCAAAAAAATTATTCCAGATGGGAGATAGAAAGAGGGATAACCTACTAATGGTTGTAAATAGTACATGATCTGCACATGAGCTGTGTTGCTTGTTAGTGAAGAATTGACAATAAAAGATCAAGAGTAGCACATATGTATGATAGCACAGACCATGGAGATGTGGGTCCAGGTTGAGGCGTCGTCGCTGCTCATGCTGATGCTGACATTACACTGGTGGATCTGAGATGCACTGAGGCCCGGGGCTCTACATTCATCTTCCTCCTGTTCCCTTTTTAGACTTGCCAGCATTTGAAGCTCCTCATCATCACCTCCATGCATTCGTAGACTGCTAAGCAGGCGTAAGTTGTAATCACTGGAATCAACAGGCTGCAGGGTTTTGTCTTCTTCTTCCTTTAAAACGAGCACCCATAAAACAGAAATTACTTAATTGGAAGCAATCCAAAATGACAATGCCTTGCTTTTAGTCAGTCAGAAATACTCACTGAATCCACATAGTTGATTCAGTGTTTTGTGTAACAATTAAAGCAGTGTGAATCTTAAAAACAGCAGACAATAGTCCCACACAGAGCCCGAGGCAGTGCTGGACATAATTCACTGTTTTGACCCTCTTAGGAAATGTCTATAGAGAGTGGATCTATTGATCTAAGAGAATACTATGCTGACTTGATTTGTGACAAAATGCTAGGAAGCCTGGTGTTACCCTGATGTTGAATCAATGGTAGTCAATAAACCAGGGCTGCAGGGAGAGAAACAAACTCCTTGTCATATTTCTCTGACAACCTTTCAGTCAAAGCCTTCACTGCATGCTGCCTGTTGGAGTAGGCATAAATCGACAGTTAGGAGCTGCACTGATAAAAGGATGCTGCGATATGTCTCTGCAGTGAATTGTGTAAATGCAGGAAGCAACAGCCAAGTGACAGATCTCCCTTCAGGCCTTGTTGCGATCGCTCCAGTTGTCTATCCTCTGATCCTGGTCTTTTTAACTGGAGTAGCAGCCAACCTCAATTTGTAACAGACCATAGTATGATCAGCATGGAATTACAAACCTTTTCATAAGTCCTCCTTAGCTGTTCACATCAACAGTGACCCTGCATTACTGTGGGCAAAGAGAGACAGCTAGACAGAAGAGCATCAGAGCTTTTAATGAGCTACACATCTACCAGAAGTCCTCCAGAACCCACTCTGCATACCCCAACTAAAGATGAATATCATTTAAATGGTAAATCTTCAGAATTGAGCCAAGGGAAGAAAAACATATTCACTATTTTTATTCTGGTGTGATCTCCACCAACTCCTGAAAAAAAATATCTGGATCTTTGGTCGAGTCTGCTAGATGATCAACTTCACCAGATAACATTGTCTGTCTGATGTTAAGTGTTTGGCAGATACTGTACATTGGATTTATCAAAGCTTTTTTTTGGTGGAAAACAGTTGCCTACAGGGATTCTTGAGAGTGGCTAAGACTCAAACTATAAAGTAAATATGCGGTCCATAAAACGAAAATATGTGCTTAAAGAAGCTTAAAGTTCTGTAGAGTTAAGTCTCCTTGATTTTAAAACTACGAGAACCCCCTTTTAAAACATCAACATTTTCCAAATGTTTTTAGTTTAAAGATTGTATCGTTTCACCAGGACATGAAACGCATACTAATCAGCATTGCAGTTCTTGTGACATAAACAACCTCGTCTAACACATGTATATCAAGTGTGCTTGGTCTTGCTAGTTTTCTCAACAATGAGGTAAATCTTAAAATCAAAAATCATTAATGATAAAAATGGATAAACTCAGCTTTCCATTGCAAATATAGGAGGTGTTTGTTGGGATGCCAAGCTTGCTTTTGTGGATAAGTGTGACATCTGTGTGATAAATAATGAGCATGTTTGCTTTGTGAGTGTTGACACAGTGAGAGGTTATCCAAATTGGCAATGTCTTTTGTGTCAATACAATGTTGCATCAAACATGGGCATATCACAATGGAGGTAATTAGGGGTGATGGCCAATAGACAGGTGTTCAGTTAATTATAGGCTGGAACTTCAAAATAATAGTCATCTGTACCCCTTTCTGAATTATAACATTTGACGGCATAATTCTTTTGTGGATTGGTTGCCCAGGGAATGCTGATGAAATTTAGCTATTTAGCTAACTCTGGGACAGTCAATAACTATCCATTGTGCCTGTTAAATAAACAAATAAAATAAAATAAATATGACTGTCTCTACATCACAAAAACAGCATAGCACTCTGGATGAGGCCTGGTGTTTGTAAAAGTTGTAGATATAAGCGGTACCTTGTGCTGTGTGGAGTCATCCAATTGGACTTGTTGCAAGAGTCTCCTAGACAGTGATACACTGATGTTCCCCTTCACAACCTGGTTCACTACCTCTGATCCACGTGGGCCACACTTGTGGTCCAGTCTGCTGGGTGTCGCACTGGGTGAGAGACAGCGTGTGGGCACAATCCCAGCTGTTTCAGCTATCCCACTGGAGGGAGACTGCATACTGGTGGCAGCTGGACTGAGCTCTTTTGGTGTTGTCTGGTCCATGTCCACAGTTGGATTGGGAGATCTGGGAGTGGCAGGGTTGGACTCAACACTAGTTCTTTGATGCTGGAATGTGGTGTAGCTGTTATCCTGAAAGGAATACAAGGACTAAGTGATGATTAATGATTAAAATTATTGTAAAACTCACTGTGGGAAGCATGATTAGTCATGACCTAAGAGTATATGGTGGACTGTTTCTTATGTTTCCAGTGTTAGCTCAATAACTCATGATAATGAGATGGCAAACAGTAACTTGGATTGACCAGGTGTTCATCAGTGAATTAGTTCAACATTCGGCCCCCACCAGTCAGGTTACATAACACACTGCACATAAAGACACCGAACATGGTTCTCTTCAACATTAAAGAAATACTCTACTGAAAACCAAAGTTTTGAATATCAAACATCCCTGTAGGCTTGAAAGTTACAGATGGCTGGATTCACAACAGTAACAATGGATTCCAATTGTGACCCACTTTCACAGCAAAAAAAAAACAAAACACCCATGGAACATTTCTTGCAGCAAAAACAACTTCTGTCACCGACACCACAGGCGAACCAATTCACCATCCTTAGAACCGCACCCCGACATAAGTGTAGTAGGTGCATACATAAAGACAGGCTAGCAGCACACAAAAGCCGGCCATGAAATGGAGACCGCAATTACAGAATACTTGCAGCCAGATTGCCAGCAAACCTTCATTTCTTAGGTTCATAATATAGACATTGTTTCTCATGAATTAAATAGCTTGAACCTTCCATCTCTCTCCCTCTCTCAATTTTTTCCTTCTGCTGTCTCTTTTTGAGGTGTTTTCTTTCATCTCTGAGCTTTGTTTTGGGTTGGAAGGTTATCATAAGCCCCATGAGGTTTTTAGCTCACCTGCTCCCTATGTTATTTGTTTTCTCTTTTATTTCTATACTTTATCATTTTCGAAAGTGTAAGCGAATAAACAATGAACAACATGGATTATTGAAATGTCTTATATGGGCAAGGCTGTGTGTGTGTGAGTTTGCAGTGTGTGAAAGCCAGCCTGTGTGTTTAGGACAAGCAGCAATGCGTTGTTTGGCTAGCATGTGAGTGTAAGTGAAAGCAGATTGCTAATCTCCTGCTCAACTCTACCACTCCTTCCGTTCAGATATTGCATTAAAATAACTGCATTTTCCCGGAAAATATAACAAATGTTGCACTGGTCTATTGTATCTCATACATGTCAAAATAGTTCATACACTGAAAGTTCATTGCTTTGTTTTGCTTTTAATATTTCTCTATGTTTAAGAACAAAAGTTAGCTCAAAAGAATTGCATGAACCTGATGCAACACCTTGAAAGATGATATTGCTCCAAGTTGAGAAATGAGCAACCTGCCATAAATGAATGAAAATCAAAATCAAGGCAGCTTGTGGCAGAGGGCTACTATAGTCTGATTTATCACTATAGCCATGGTGGCAGAAAATGCTCACTTAGCAGGCTTAAGCTTAAAGCTTTGCAAAGCTTAAGTGATATGTTAAAAACGGGTGTTCTACGTGAATGATCAGTTGATCTGTTTAAACCACCTTTGTCAGGCTGAGTGTTATGACCAGCACAGCCAAAAGTGGAGCTTGTAGAATTTCAGGCCTCCAATGTAGTCACAATGTCATTTCCATCACAGGCAAGCCTATTTTATATATACAACTTTTTTTTTTGGAAGTCAACATTCAAAACAGATAAACATTTTCCTTTCTTACACAGATCTTCAGACAATGACTTCCTGCTTTTTTACAATGCAGATATATTGCTGCTTGCTCTCCACTCTGCTTACATTCTTTTGATGATATTCTTTTTTATTTCTGCTAAAAAAGTTATTGACAGTGGCTCCTGGATATGTATAATTCGCTAGGACTTTAATTTCTGAAGGACACAGAGGGAACACACTAGTACTTCCGTACTACGCAAGCATGGCCTACAAACAACACAAGCCTTGTGCTGTGTCACTATACTAACCTACAGTGATTGGAAACCTGGGGTTAACTGACGCTGCTTAGCAGCAAGATGCTCCCCCTCTGATCCACTATTAGAAGTGAAAGTGGATGTGGATGGACTATGTGGGAGTACTACCACTTTACCATGGACTCAAAACAATGGACAACAAGAGAATGCTGACACACAGCTAACTAACACCAACAAGACAGAAAGACGAATAGTAGCCAGAGTCCAGCACAGCTGTGGACAGATACAAAAGGGAGTGTTTTCAACAAACCTCCCCAACAAGCAAGTGTAGAACTTGAGAACAGAATTGCACCTCTGCTGCAAGACCCTGGACCTCTGTCAGATGACCTGGATAACCACTGATCCCACAGCAGGGTAAGGTCTAAGAGTAATTCTGAAAGCAAAATAGTCCGTTACGATTGTGGTTGGCTTTGCTATTAAAGATGTAACAAGCATAAGCAGTAAGAACACTAAAATATATAGCTTTCCCAAGGATATGGTCTCTGACATAACAGAAATAATCTCACATATTCTGGCTATGAAAAACATTGTAGTGCACATAAAGGCCATTGTGAAACAGCAATCAGAGATACTGAAACAAGATATTACTGATGTACTGAACACAAGCAGCTCTCTGAATCTGAATCAACTGTTTTTTCCGGCTTTATTGCCAAAACACAGATTACGTTTGACAGATGTTCATTCATTGGAAAATTAAGAAAGGGTTTTTGGATTAAACAGCAGCGGCCCACAATCCATATGGCCCGATCAACTGGACCAGGTACCATGGCGTGTGTGGTGATCGCTCAGAGGAAAGATAGCCTGGAAAGGAGCAATGTTGGCCCAGCTTTGACTCAGGCTGCTACTAAAGGTCCAGTCTGGACAAAATGGGACTCAGGTTGGCCAAGCAATGGAAAACAGAGACTGTTGTGTCCTCATCTTCACAGAGACCTGACCCATTAACTTCCTGGATTAAGTGTGCAAGACTCCGGCAAGATGAGAGGAGGTGGACTCTGTGTTTTACATCGATCGCTTGGTGCACAAACGCAGTCAAGTTGTTTCTTAAATGTCAGACGTTTTATTGTTAAGATGAAATATTTTCATCTTGTTGCTGCTGTTTACCCTCTCCCCAGATGCAAATTATAAAATTGCGCTACGGAATGTCTGGGGTAAATACGCATATATATATAGCTTTTGGATATAAATATCTGTATATAGGCCTACTGTTTTATTTATATGTTACCATATTTTAATTTACACATAATTAAGTGCTTACTTCTGTGCAGCATGAAGGGACTACAAATTTCTTTTTGTTATACAACATGGTGCTGTATAATGACAAATAAACAACGTTGTACCTTGTACATTGAACGTTGAGGTGTTTATCAGTGGCCCACTACCACCAGTCAGAACAGGAGTCAAGAGATTCAGCAGATTGTTGGCTTTCAACTGCATGTAACCTGCTTTCAGCGCACTTTACTGAGAATTTTAACTTTTTCTGGGACCGCAGACATCTTTATAGAGCAGATGGAAGTTGCCTCAGCAATTCAGGCATAAAGCTGTTCATCTATTTTACTTCCTGCATCACCCATCTGCTCTGTCTGCCAAACAATGACAAGACATAACACAGCACAGCAGAAACCTTGAAGGAGAACCATTTCAGCCCTACCTGAAGAGAGTTTTAAAACATGAGGGACTTCAGAACCAAGAGGAAGAGTCTCCTGTGAGGACTAACTTCTTCACCCTCCTGAACCCTATTCAGTTATCTGACTGCACAGTGTTGAAGGCTGATTTTTACTGATAACTTCACTGAGCTGCTTCCTGTTATTTCAACAGAGTTTGAGAAAATCGAGTTATCTTTTTATAACTGACGATTTTCTCTTTGACATTAAAATTAATAATCCCAAAGACAAAAAGTAATTCTGTGGTCTATTTGAAACGTTTGATTTTTTGCAGCATGTGAAAGGGCCCACACACACAGTCAAGGGCACACATTGGATTTGGTTTTTCGCAAGGGTGTTGATGTTTTTAATACTGTTGTAGGGACAGTAATCTTCAGATTCAAAACAAAATCTTTAAAGAGAGGCTTTGTATTTCCAATGCCGACATAAATTAGGCTAGACAAGCCTTTTTCATCATTCTGGTGCCTTTCTTACCACTACTGAGAAGCTAACTAGCCCATGACTTCCTATCTCTCAATAAGTGTAATGACTTAGAATATTTTTTTATGTGTGTGTGTGTGTGAAACAAATGTAAATATGAGACTGGTCATGAATTCCACTATGTCAAACAATGGAATTAGAACACTGCTGCAACCACACAGAGAAACTATTAGGCTAGATTGTCAACAGTCAATGCTATCAGTACTAAACCTCTGGATAATGTAGTGAAGCATTATCAGGCCCCTGCTGTTTTGACACCATGCCAACCAGCTTTATCAAAAATGTTTTCATTTGCTTAGAAATGTATGTGCTGAAAATTGTCAATGACTCATTCCTATGAGGCATTTCCCGCAAATCCTGAAAACTGCAGTTGTTAAACCCCTTCAAAAGGAAAGCAACGGGATCCTTCAATATCAAATAACTAAATACCCATCTATAATCTTAACTTTATCCTGTAATATTCCCTTCATTATCTCACGGCCAGGGGCTATGTTGTTTCTACTGGTGACCATAAATCTGAGCAGATCATGACATGTGGAGTCCCCCAGGGTTTGATTCTTGGGCTGCTATTATTCAACCTGTACATGCTCCCTCTTGGTCAAATCATACATTACAATAACCTTGCTTATCACATCTACGCAGACGCCACTCAGATTTACTAGCTCTCTCACCAAATGACTTTGGTCCCTTTTTGTCTTTCCAAACAGACAACTTCAGCTCAGTCAGAATGCTGCTGCTGGAATTCTAAGAGAACTGAGCATTTCATTTCATCCATTATTCAAATCCCATTTTATTCTATTTTAATTAATTACATTTTGGTTTTGATTCCGTTTTGTTTTTGAATGTCATACCAATGCTTTTCTTTGCCTATGTAAATCACTTTGAGTTGTCTCTACTTTTGAAATGTGCTATATAAATAAAGCTGCCTTGCCTTGCTTCTACATAGAGCAGTAGAACCTCAACTTTTCACTAATTTTGGATGGCTTGGTGGTTGCCAATACCCATGTATGAAATGTTTCCTTTCTGCCATGTATTACCTGGAATGAATCTGTTAAGTTACATTTCTGTTACACCCAGTGCTCAATCTAAAAGTCTGTGCTGAAGAAACATAACATGTATATCTGACCAATTTGAATATCTATAGTAGCTTATCTGCAAAGCTGGACATTGTGTCTGAATCTTATTATTCCATGGTTTAATTTTCACATTTGGGCTACAATTGGTCAAATCTCAGAATATAAGTACATTTATATCAATCTACCAGAATGATATCAATATGTTTTTCTTTCTTCTGGTGTTATTTCTTAAGTCGTAAGAAAAAAGATTTGATACTGACTGTTTAAAAATTGTTTTACAGCAGGTTTCCTCTTCAGCAGGACATCAAGACAGATCACACCCAGTTGGACATAGGTAACATAGTTTATCATGAGCCATCACAGCTCGCTGATGTTTAAATGGTAACTTATCAAATGTGTTTCATGATGATTGAGTGCCCTTACATGTTGCTATACTGATTCTTTGTCATTATATGAATAACGCATACTGCATTTCCTGATTGGTGTCTGTATGGCATCTTAATTAATAAATTAAAACGAAACCACATTTGAAGTTATTATTTGTTGTTATTGTTAATTAACAATTATCCTGACGCCAATAAAAGTCATTTAAATCGCTTTACATCTGTGTCTTCTTCTACCCTGTCTTTGCAGGTGTATTGCTGAATATTTGGGCTCTTACCGCCCCCAGTTGATCAGTATAATAGTATCGAACCAATGGCAGATCAGTGGTGTTCGTCTTCATGCTCGCACACCAGATAAACAAATCAGGGACCAGCACAATGCGAAACATTTCCATAGCACTACTAAAACTCAAAAGCTCTATTGGGAACCTTTAAATTGACTTTCTCAGTTGATGTTTGTCATCTTTGTCCAATGGGAAGATGTTCTAACTATCCCACAGTATGTTTCCAGCATATCTGGGGCAATATGCAGTTTGCAGCTTTGTGCTCCACCAAGTATCGCCTTGCTCCATCAGCCATCATAAAAATATATCACAAAAAAACATTTCAGCATACTCTAGCCTGTTGAGTGTAGTTTATAAATGAAAAGGTTGTGCTTATCCAATACATAATCTTTGTGGATATCGGAAGGAATAGCCATTGTGTCCTCTTAGAAAAACTGTGTTTTTTTTGAATATTACAAAGTGAGGCTCTCTCACTTTCCCCTTTGAAAAGCAATCACTTCCAAAATGACCATCTCACAGAAAAGTTGCAGGTGGGAAACCTAAAACAAACATAAAACATAAAAATGCCCTTTTTTCTGCTGGCAGTTTCAAAATACAGTGCATTGCAATGGATCAAATTGCTTACTCTGCTCTCACAGAATTAAATTATATGCTTCTTTCTTCACCCTCTAACCCTAGTTCATACCAAGTGATGGCAGCTGATTTTAATGTGTTAAAGTGAAGACACCCCTCTCAGACACACTTTCAGTGTCATTGTAAAATGCTGTAATTACAATCGTTTTGTGCATCCTTTTCTCTCAACCTCAGTTGCTAACAATGGTCATTCCCTAAAAATTTGCATTGGTGGTTTTTACATGTGAAGATGGAGAGAGAAAACACTAACTATAAGCTATATATATATATATATATATATATATATATATATAGACATAGCAATACTAATGGCAACAGTGTCCCATCTAAACAAGCAATAGAAAAAAGCTACATACTTACAGTAGTTTCTCAATCACAGTCCAATGTTCAGAGATGCGTTGTCCTGGTAATAATATTCTACTAGTTAAAACCTTTGTTACTTTTGAAAGTGTTTTGATAGGCTCAATATTACAGCAGTGTTTGAAATCAGTGTTTGAAAAGGCTGTGTGATCATTCTCCTTTTAACATGTCACTCTCTCAGAACCTATGCGTCTGTGTGTGTGCCATACGATTTCTCCCCTCCTTGCCAAAATCTGCTACTTGTTTTGTTCTCTGTCTTTCTTTTTTTGTTTTTGTTTTGGACAGTAGTACCAGCAGACGCTGCTTATAATAAGCTAATATTAAACATTTTTTGGTTTGTAAGCCATGTAAAATGGCAGCCAAGGAAACTGAAAAGGTTCACACATTCGATAGAGGTGAAAATAGATATAAAACCATTCTCCAAACCAAAAAGTAACGCACAGTCTAAAGAAAAATGTCAGCTCAGGCTAGAGCTTTGTAGAAGACATACCATACCTGCACTTTTCAAAAGGTCACCATAAATATAATCAAATGTTTTCAAACAAAAACAGTTTTATAGTGTTTTTTTTAACTAAATCACCCTGGTTTGAGTACTATACATGCACATCAACTATGCACACAATGTCGATGGAAAATATTGTGTCTTGAAAGAAGCCCTGAGTTACTGATACCAAAAATAAAACATTTACAGTAAATGTACTGTTTTAGAGAGATTTTTCTCCTGCTTGACTCCATTATAGATTATCTGGAGATACACTGCTGACATAGTTGCACAGAGTCTATGATTAGTACATTATCCACATCACACAGAAATGCAGTCACAGGGTGTTAGCAATAAGTTATAAATACACTCTCAAACATCAAATTTGGCACATGCAGATCCCTGTTTTTCTATAGGTTTTGTGTTTTAGGGTGGATTTTGTCTTTGACATGATGCATAAATTGTATTAAAGCTAAACTAATCAGCTGCGCAACAAAATGAGGTTCTTAAGTCTGAATTATCAGACTTATTATAAAGTTTTAAATAAGTAAAAGCAATTAGCATTTCTTTGAAGATAGTCATCTTTATACTCATAGTTCAACAGTTTAATTTCCTTGCTCAGCATAAAGAAAACTACTATTCTTTATTTTAAGTCTCATAACCATTAATAAATTATCTGATGATAAATAGCCCCACTGACCCTTGAAGTTAAATTATACTCCATGCTGTGAAATGTGTAATATGAAATTACACTCCACTAAATATACTGTGTATTTTGACCCTTAATCAAATTTAAATTAAAGTTTTAAATGTAATCCAATTAAGCTAAATCAAATAAAACAGTGGGCACACTGTGATGTCTTATGATATACTGAATGTTTGCTGATGAACTGAGATTGAATTAGATCACACAAATCAGATTAAATCCCCAAAATGGACAAATCATATATTTGAAATCTGGTGTTCATACAATTAGTGTATGTTATGTAATACAAGTATGCTTATTTAAGGCAGATGGTATTTAGTGTCATATCTTATACATATCTTGTGTCAGAGCAGCATACCGTAAGATGCCCTTCAAATGCATGTGCATTAAAGTACAGTGTACAGCAGACATACCTCATCACTTTCACTGCCGATGAAGTCATCTTGAGGCTGGGCCTCATACCGCCTCCCACTTTTGCTCTGAACCTGATCGTCTCCCATCTCCATCTTCTCCTGGTCACCCTGGCCTTGACCTCTTTTGGGTGAGTGTGGCTGGGATGAGAAAGTGAAAACCTCCTCTTGCAGAGTGAGCTGGGGCTCAGACCCCTCATTACTCTCCCAGCTGCTCCAGACCTGCAGGTCACAAGACAAACCTGACCAGATCGTGCAAGAGAGAAACTCTGCTGGTGTGGGAGCAGCTCCTGAACTTTCCCTGGCAGGACTGCAGCTACACTCATCTAAAATAAAAGAGCATGGAACAAAATAAGAACAAGACAGTTTTAACTTGAGCAGGAGTAAATTCTCTCTTTGAAACATATCTTGCTGCACATGAATGTTTTAAAATAATTAGAGTGTGCATTGTATAATACATGAATGAAGTCTTTCAGAATACACATGAAGGACTTAACCGCAATGACTGAGTAGACAATAATGATAGGAATTGAATTACATTGAGTAATAAATTGAATGTGGCTAATGTCATTCTCAAGGTTATTTTAATAAATGCACATAAAAAATTGTAATAATTAAATGCAAAATTGTTATGAATTCCACTGCTTGCAGAAATAGAACATTCATTTCTCTCCATTTTTGTATGTTTTGTTAATAGCTTTGCTAACCTTAACGAGAATGTAACAATATAAACAACATAATCAGTAGTAGGAACACTGGTTTGCTGCAAAATTGTCACTCATGAAATGACAGCTCTGTCCAGACATCGTTAGCTTTAGTCTTTTGATTTTCTGCTTTTGTTAAAGTAGAAATCTTACAGCAGCGTTACAATATCTGACACTTTTTTTCCTGAATATACATCCATGGGGTAAAATCTTTATCAACCTTGAGTGAAAGTTGCAACCATTCTTGTGTGCATGCAAGGAACACTGATTCCCTAAACTCCGCGATATGCCTGAGATCAAAGAAAAGGCACCTCTATCTGAATGAGAGAGCACATTTGAACCTCTCGACAGTATAATCACTTTCTCTAATTGCCCACTGTGTGGCAAACCCTGGGCCCAGGAGATGTCCCTCTGACTTTTATTTAATGTGCCACATTACCATTAATGAACTAACTACTTTCCATCTGTGGGCAGGGCTGCAGCAAAGGAGCTTACTGCTGTGGAGAAACATCCATAAATGAGCTTTCAGAGTATGTGCACTCATTTTGTGAGGACAATACTGGTGTAGGTCTGTATGCGTGTGTGTGTGTGTGTGTGTGTGTGTGTGTGTGTGTGTGTGTGTGTGTGTGTGGTGGTGGGGGGGGGGTGCAGATTCAGTGGGTTGGAGAGTGGGTACTACAGAAATCCTGCAAATGGTCTTGAGGTGGGTTATGCAAAATGAGAAAAGGGGAACAAAAGTGATAGTGTATGCAGCATAGAATGAGGCTCATTAAAATTCATGCAAGTGATCTAATTTATGAATTAGAAGAGGAGTAGGAATAGGTATTTTCTCAAGTATAAAGGAGCTACTTAGTAAAATCAGTCATTCAAAGTAGACCGTCATATCATTCAACATGCATATTATTCTCTTGTGTCCCATCCCCCGTTGTCTTTTTACACTTTTCTAACCATCACTCAGTCTGAAAGTGCATGTCTCCCTGCTGCTGCTTCCTGCTGTCCTGCTCCCCGTCTATTCACAGCAGATGTGAGCCTCACCTGCTGCTAGGCGCTTTGTGTTTTCTGTTCGAGGTTGTTGCCTGCTTTCCTGCCTGCTGGACGGAGGAGTGCACATCTCCCTGCTTTTACTTCTCTTTCTGTGGCCACCAGGTACAGCATCTGGAGGCACTGTTCACCAGAATTTAACACCTTTACCATACATTCACCAAACCATGCTCTATATTCCCATGTAGACATACACACAGAATCTAAGATGCAGTGCTTACCTGACGATGCTAGCCTCTCTCTTCCAGCACTGTAGACCTGTAGCTTCTTAGATCCCTGCTTGTCAAACACTCTGTCTTTTGGGGGATGTGGCTGTAAACTGCCAGGTGTACCTACATTCATTACTTTCAACATTAGAAAAGCTTTATAACACAAAACAACTGTGTCAACAACAATATAACTAAAGCTTACCATCTTTGAACTGATTATGCACCGTGAAAATCCCTATTAATGAAGGCATTTCAGTAACTGAGCTTCTTTCATTCATTCAGTGCAGAGATAATACACATCCAGCTACATTATGTTCAGCTGAATTAAGGAATTATAATCATCCGTTTTTGCATTCAGTCATGCTGGAAGGATGGCGTATTACCAACTATAAAAGCTGTTATTAGGTGCTTTGGAGAACATGCTCTGTAAGAGCTGGACCCTTGTTTTGTTGGTTCATGTGTAATGCTTTTACCGATGCACTTAGAAGAATAATTGTGTGCACTCTTAAGGCCAAGAAGAATTTAATAAGAGGAATACAGTACAGTGTGCACTTTTAAAACAGCGACTACACTTTAAGTTACACAGCTATGAGCCTGCTCTGCATCGGTGCGCATTATATTCACATGCAAGATTTTCGTCTGTGAGGATTCTCTGTCATCCAGGACATAAGCTATTTAGAGGTAAAGTCAAAGGCAACTAGACTCACTAGCAAAACTTCTAGCTCATCATTCACTAACTGAAGTCAAAGTCAGTGTTGTTAAAAAATATCTATTTTATTTTGACACTGTTTTTATATCAATGTCTATGTCACAAAAGCACACCTTTAATAGATCCATTAAAGTTTAATAACTAACATATTAAAGTTCATGTGACATGGTCATGAATTGTGTACCAACAAGATCATGGTGAAACAACTTCAAAAACCCTACACTGCATACTCTTGATTTGCTTTGTTGGCAAATGAGAAAAAAGTGGCATTCAAGCTCTGTACTCAAAAAACAACATGTTCTGAGTTATGAACTACAGAGGGTTTGATCAGTGGTGAAATTAGTGTCTCCCTAATAATCAGTTATGATTGCTGAGCAGTAGGCTTCGTTGTTTCCCAATAACATTTTCAAGCTACTGGAACCTGTATTTCTCTGGAAATTTCCCAAAACCTAGCAGCTATATTTCTGTGCTGGGTCCAGCTTGTTTTTAGTTCATTTTCTGCTCCTTATTCCCACCAATAAGTCACTTAGTATCCACCAACTTACTCTCTTTGCCATATATATGTCTCACTGCTGCTCCCTTCTCAGCTTTGTTTGCATTCACTGGTTGCTTGCCTATTATTGACCCTGCTTTTGTGCAAAGACCTTGTAAACGGCCTTTTAACTGCTCTACCTCTACATCGTGATTCTGGGTCCACATTACTACTTAGCCTTTAAATTTAACAATTTATTCCTTTTTTTCCACACATAGCTGCTGCCATTTTAGCTTATTCTTATTGGGTCCAGGATGAGTCGCAGCTACCGTATTTTGCCAGATAACCACAAGATGGCTGGCATGGCAAGCCCATGCTCCACAAACAACAATTTGGACTCAGATATGTGCAGTACCCTGTACAAAAATACCCAAACAACACCCAACTTTGGCAAAAACCTTCCTATCCAGCCTTTCATCATTGAATTTAAGTGGTTAATAAACTGAAGCTCATCATGTAAGTAAATCACTTTACAAAGAAACAAAGAGGTGAATGAAACGTGAAAGTGACACGGGTGATTCTAGGATCAGATGGTCTAAAATCACCCCTGGAAAGTGATTTGGTGATACAGCTGGATGAGCAGGGTGTGTTTAGGTATAGAAAGCATGCAGGATAAACAACACTCTAATTCAAATTTACCCTCAAGAACAACATAGGAAGACTCTCCATGTGATAAACTCTCATTGAAGTTGGCAATGCTCTGACTTTCTGCAGTGACTTTTTGGTTCCTCCTACTGGATGGCGATCCCTGCAGGGCACAGCAAAAGAAGAAAAACACATTTCAAAGACAACATGTTCTATTTTGTACTTACATTAATGTATGAGTTTCATGCATTTACCATATTTGAGAAAGATTGTAAAAGTACACTTCCATCCACTCCGTCTGAGGCTGCACTGCTTTTTCTTCCAGTTTGAGGGGGTGGCCCTGAAACCCTGGAGCCTGCGGCTGTATGCAAAACACCCTGGGGCCTGCTTCTTCGATAACTTGTTGATCTGGCAGTGGCAGTTTGATCAGGAACTGCAAAAAAAATCCCATTATTCATTAATGGAAATGTGGATGTTTAATGTTTGAATAAGATTTTTCTTTAAGAATTACCTTACATCTTAGAATGATACATCATAAGTGGTGCTGCAAATTTTAACCAATTTCCTTAATCTGCTGTCAGTCTTGTTAATGATCAAGTAGCCACTGTAACTTCTGAAGGATACGTTTCAGATTTAGAGTTACATAGTTCACACAGATGAAAAATGAATGCTTGAAGCCAGTTCAGTGAGAAGCTGCCTTCAAACTTGCCACAAAGTTTTTCAAAGTCACTATGAATATATGTCTTTTTTATACACTGGAGTATGTTTTTGAGAAAGCATGACACTGCATTGCAAACATAACCAATCACTCTACTTCTACTACTATAAACTTGTGTTTATGTCAAGTTTTCCACATTAGTCTATTTTGAATTAGCGGCTATGATGGTTGAATATAAATTAGACTCCACTGCTGAACTGATTGAGCTGATGTTTTTCTTCAATCTATCAATCTGTTCCAATTACCGCCCCGCACTTGTATGCCTTTTTCTTCCATGTCTGTCCAGGCTCAATTAATAAATGTAGTGTATTTTTTGGCTAAATGGAAGTTGTCACTATATTTATGATTCATATATATGATTTAAGTGATTTTTAAGGCAAGGCATAAAAACATTTAATTTCAATAAAAAGAGTTAAATAGAAAATTAAAAAAGATAAAAGGATATTAATCAAAAGCCTCACATTTGATTTAATAACATTTGATTTTTTTTTTCATAAAAAGGCAGCGGCAAAAAAAAGTCTTCAGCCTTGAGTTAAAGGAACTGAGAGTTTCAGCAGACCTGCAGTTTTCTGGGAGTTTGTTCCAGATAGATGGTGCATAAAAAATAAATGCTGCTTCTCCATGTTTATTTTGAAGATTTGGTAACAGAAGATCAGAAATGTATGTTGGCCCTAAACCATTCAGCGTTATACAAAACAACAGTATTTTATAATTAATTCTTTGACCGAAAGGAAACCAGTGTAAAGACCTCAGAACTGGAGAGATGTGATTGATTTTTCAGGGACACCTGTAAAGACACGGTTGCAGTAGTCGCGTCGACTGAAGATAAATGCATGGACAAGTTTTTCTAAATCCTGCTGAGACATAAGTCCTTTAATTGTTCACAGTCATGTGGTTCTGATGACGCTCGAAATTCAGAATGAGGCAGGCAGTGAAAGGCTGAACAAGGGAGATGGAAGAGAGCCTGTACAGTGCTAATTATTGATTACCCAGTCAACTTCTGTGTGAAATCTGGAATCACCCAATTCATTCTTAAATTATGGCTAAAAACCTATTTTGATCTTTGACCATGGAGTCAAAAGTGTCACCTATTCAATGTACAACCAACATGGTGTAATATGGTCACAGCTTCTTCCAGGTATTCCTGAGATACTGTGTTCACGAGACTGGGACAGATGGCCAACCAGAAAACATAATTCCTCTGGCCATTATTATGGAGGCATAATAATGGGCTGTAGTGGGAGTTGTGATAGGACCATGACCTGACCCTGATGTATCTGTACCAGGGCTCATTAGGATCACCGGCGCTGATGCTGACAGCAAAACACACATTCTGTCTGATCCCCATCTGAGCAGAGAGCAGACACTTTCCATTCCACAAAACACACAGGATCGTCAAGATAATATAGACCGAGCTGAGTTGGATGTACTGAGAGTGAAGAAAAAGAAGAAGTCGCACTCCTTTGATGCGGCAAAAATACTCAGAAAATGACCCAGCTTTAGGGGTGAGTACAGTTCAGTGTATTTTAAATCCGCAGAAGCCCATGAAAGAATGTGGTAACAATAAGGAACAGAATGAGACATAGGATAGCTGATAGACTCAAAAATATTTAGATTTTCATCTATGAAAATTCATTGACCTTGAAAAAAACTGAATGTCTCTGGTGTATGAGATAATCATGGTTTGTTTGTTGACAAGCTTACTTTTAACAGTTTCTGACAGATTGGATTCTGAAGCAAAAAATATTCACCAAGTAACTTTGTCACAGTTAAATTGTATGCCTACTTTAATAGCAATCGTTTTAATTATGATTAGGAATGTTATGCTAATAATGCAGATGCTAATTATGAAAAGCTATTTCTTGTGTGGTTACTGCTCTCTTCTATGGGCATTGCCGGTTGACTCAACATGACTTAGACAGCTGTCAGAACAAATAAATAAGCGCTGATAAAAAAGGCCACAGAGGCGGCAGAACTGGATTACTGGTGCATGTCTTTTTATATGAGGAGATAATTGCAGCTCTCTGAGAACAGGTGAGGTGCAAATGAACACCAAAATGAGGACCACAGGAATTTCATGTGAGGAAAACAAATCGATTATCATCACAGTCTTTTCATAGAAAACAATTTCTCTATGTGCAACCATTTCTGCATCATGATTTTGCATATTAACAGTCTCATCGGTAGATCATGGCTGGTTGTAGATGTATAAATTCATACTCAGAACATCAAATAAGTGAATATATATATATATATATATATATATATATATATACACACACACACATACACACAGACACAGACACACACACACTCACACACATCTCAATCCCAAACATAAAGGTGCTGCTTTAATAGCCCCCACTTTTCTTGGAAGGCTTTCAACGACATTTGGAACCTGGCAGCTGTGATTGGCTCCCATTCAGCCCCAAGAGCATTTTTGACATAGGGCATTAATTTTGGCGATAAGGCCTGGCTTTCATTTGGCGTTCCAATTCACCTCAACGGTGTTGGATGGAGTTTGCGCAGGAGAGTTAATTTCTTCCACACCAACCTTGGAAAAACATTTATTTACCATTTCTTGACCTGGCTTTGGGTGTGGGATCATTTTCATGTTGAAACATGAAATCAGCATTCCCCAAACTGTTGCCACAATAGTTTGTCTAAAACACCATAGTGTGCTGTAGCATTAGGATTACCCTAATAAGTAAAAGTCCTGCATTCAAAAATATATGCAAGTAAAGGTACATAAGATCAAAATATACTCAAAGACCTCATTAAGCAGAATTGCCTATTACAGAATCATATTCTATCGTTGGATTATAACTATTGGTGTCTATTAGGTGTGGCCAACTGTAACTACTTTATATACTGATGAGTAGCTTAAGCTATAATACACTGAACAAAAACACTTTTGTTTTTGTCCCCATTCATCATGAGCTGAACTCAAAGATCTAAGACTTTCTCTATGTACACAAAAGGCCTATTGCTCTCAAATATTGTTCACAAATCTGTCAAAATCTGTGTTGGTGAGCACACATAATCTATCCACCTCACAGGTGTGGCATATCAAGATGCTGATCAGACAGCATGGGTATTGCACAGGTGTACCTTCGGCTGGCCACAATAAAAGGCCACACGAAAATGTCCAGTGCCATCACACAGCACAATGCAACAGATGTCGCTAGTTTTGAGAGAGCGTGCAAAACGTTTGACTTTAGACAAAATTTAGAAGTACAGTACTTGAGTAAATGTACTTAGTTACTCTTCACCACTGTTTATTGATCAATTTACAATCCTGTGATTTGCTCCCACCTACCACAGTCAGAGCTCAACAGTCCAGCCCTCATGTCTGCCTTCTGCAAATGCTCCATGTTCAACACCTGAGTGACGTGGCTGACATCCGGCAGGAATTGGCAACTGCGAGGGATCAAGTCCGTGAGACCAGCTCCACAGAGAAACATATCTAGATTAACAGGAGAATAATTTCAGATTTATCCTGAGCATAGAATAAACCAAAACACATTATCATGACCATCACGCAACAAAGATAACACTTTGATCAATAGAAAAACACAAAATGACAAGCTGTCTTTACTGGCAAGTAGTGTAGGTATGCACAGAGTGGCCAGCACTGGGTGCAGCTGTTGGCACTGCTCAGCCATAACTGAGTTAAACAAAAAACACCACTGAGCTCTCAGCCAACTGCCACAGAAAACAGCCAACTGTTTCTCTCTCTCTCTCTGTCTCTCTCTCCGCACACGTACACAGTATTTCATATAAACTCCACTCACTTGCTTCAATGACAAATGCTTAGCTGTTGTATGTCTTAAAAAGCCACTCATGGCAGGGACATTAAGGTAAGCTGATAAAACCTTTTTTGACATTAATTATTTAGGCTTGGCAAACTCCACTACCATCATCTGATGTTCCTGTAGGCTCGGTTTTCATGGTGAAGATTCTGCGGACTTTACAGGTAGCGAACAAAGTGATGCCATCCAGCTTCAAAAATCCCTTGAACAGTTCACCGGTGAATGATACAAGGTCGATGCACAAAGTAGACCACTGAGACAATACAAACAATGATTTTGTAGTTACAGGATGCCTCAGAGACACTCTCAATAAGATGTGAATGCCAAGCATGACAAAGCACATAGCTGAAAGCAAATGCTGAAAGAATATGTCAAGGATGAGTTAGTTACTCACAATATTGCGTTTCAATCTTACAAAAGGTATCTTTGCATGCAAAAGTGTGGAAGACAATTCTTTATGCACTGTTGATAAGTGAAGTCTTCTTTTCAGGTTCTCTGAATCAGTTATCCTGCGAATAGTAGAAAACAGAACATAAATTATCACCGGCATCGATGGTGTCACTAAAAAGTTCTGACCAGAGAAAACCACAAGCTTTATTGGACTCTAGGGTAAGCTCTTAAATGTGTTTTCACTTTAATCTAGTGCCGTGAAAGCAGCTGTCATGACGTACTCTAATGGAAGAACAACAAGGCAACAATATTTCCCTAGATTTTCTTAAAATGATGTAGTGTGTGAGTAAATAAGTAGTTAAGTAACTTTATAGTAAGAACCACTGACAGTCTGTCTTCCTAATGCAATGCACTTGGCCGTTGTCTGAAAATTTGCACAACGTGGTTAAAAATCCTGGCGTTTTCTTGGACACGTCATTGAATTTTAACATTTTAGACTCTATTTATCTCATAACATCCTGGAAACAGTTACCCATGTTTTATCACCCCTAGGTTTGACTGTAATTTCCTGTATATGGGGTTGACCCAGTCCACCTTTTCTGGGCTCCAACTGGTTCAAAATGCAGCTAATAGGCTTTTAAATGGAACAAAGAAAAGACATCACTCCTGCTCTGGCTCACTTGCGTTGGTTACCGGTAACTACAGAATTGATTTTACAATCGTATATATGTTTTTAAAACCTTAAATGGATTACAATACATCACTGATCTGCTTATTCCACATTCTGCCCACAAGACTCTAAGGTCAACCTCACAACAACTCCTCTCAGACCCTCACTCAAGACTCAAAACCAAAGGTGACAGGTCTTTTTTGTTGCTGCTTCCAGGCTCTGGAATAGCCTCATTAAGTCCTGTTCCAACACTCACCATTTTAAATCAAATTTAAAGAGCCACTTTTTCTCTTGCTTTTAGTGCAGTCTGAGGTTGCCCCATGGTCACAGTCAACATATTTCTAACGTCCTCTTACGGCATTTTTAATCTGTTGTTGGTTTTATTCAATTTCTCCTAACTGCCTATTTTATTACTTTGATTCAGATTATTCGTTCTGAGTTCTACTCCATTTCTGTTTTGCCTTCTCTGTATTATATGTATTTTTGTATTATTGTATTAAATTATGTAGTATTGCCTTTTACATATTATTCTTTGAATCACGTATACCTGAATAGGGCACATCTAGCCCATCTGCCTCACTTGGAAAGCACTTTGGGTCAACTCCTGTTATCTTTAAATGTGCTATATAAATAAAAGTCACTTGACTAGTTTTGTTTTCTGCAGTATATGGTTCCCATGACTTAACAAAATCTAAACAGCAGAACTAATACTGCATATCACAGTCTGCGTCTGTAATAAATAGAATTTTAACATAAAGTAATTTCACACATAAATAGTTTTGAGCACAAAAAAGACCCCATACAGACTATAAATATAGACTTCTGTTCTTGATTGCACAAACTGTGTTTTATTGATCATAAGAACACTGGTAACTCACTGTATTGTGTTGTACCACAAATTGCCTCTCAAAGGACATTAAGTTTTTAAGACTAAGAATCAATAAACATCCACACATTATAATATGTTTTATTATTTGGCTTTGTATATAACCTGGTAGAATTTACTGTGGCTGCCAAGATAAAACCCTTCTTTGTAGCAAGTAGTTTAACAATATCTTAATCACAATCGACAAATACATAAATAAAAGTCATTGCTAATATGATGCATTCAATTTTTCAGGTGGCTCAAGGGGTTTTCCTAATAGATGTAAACATTCTGTCTTTTATTAATTATGTCAGTGGTCTGAGAGGAATTCACTGTTATTAAATTATTATTTTGTACATTTTAATATTAAGTATTCTCTTATGTAAGAAAAATGTTAATTTACTTTATTAAGCATTATTGTGGCAACCATAACAGTAATAAAAGTCAATTATCAGCCATAGAGTTAAAGATTTAATGAGATGTACAAGAGGCACGCTCTCACAAATGTCAATAAAAGTGAGTTGCCATGTATGAAGTATAAGAAAGTATAAAAATTACTAACTGCTGTACTTACACAAGCTCAATGGAGAAATCTTTGCTCTGAGGAATATTCACTTGTAGGACCAAGAATCTTTGGAGAAGCCCGACTAAGAAACAAATAGGCAAAGAAGTGAATTACTATTAACATGTAAGGATAACAAAGTACTATTTACAAATGGGTCCAAGTATGGTAGTGACTTACGAGATACTTTCCCATTCTCTGGAATTTGCATCTTGACTGTCTGGCTGCTACCCTCCAGACAGTAAACAAATCCTTTGACTTCTTTATCATACTCCTGAGGGAAGAAATAATACAGAAGAGGTCCTTGCTAGTATATCCAGTGTTGTGTAGCTGTGGTGCGACTGCTCACAGTCACTGCAAATGTCTTCACACTTTGTCTGAACAAACTGTAAATAAGTTATATGTCAAGAACAGCTCTATTATGACATAAAACAGCAAGAGCTGCGAAAATGTATAGTTTGGGTAGCAGCATTCCTAGCATCTACTTAAATTATCAAAATTTGAGTTTGTATTTTCCCACATTTTGACAGTTTGTAAGTAATATCTCAGTTTGTATACTGTAAGTTACTAGCATCCCAAATGTTTAGGACTCAATCTATACATCTCATGTAAGGATGTGTCCATGACTCATGGGAACTTACACATACATACACATTTTTCATGCACTGTTTTACTCAATGGTAACTGTATAATGTTTATTCGATTGCATTTTGGATTATGTTTGTTACTGTCTACGCATGTTGTGCAATAAGTAAGCTATCTGGGTTGTGTAATATCTAATTTATGCCATGTAGACTATATGGGCTGTGCAATATTTAATGTGGGCAATGCAAGCTGTATGGGTTGTGCGTGTTCGATTACCTTAAGAAGTGGTGGCCGTGGTGAGAAGGTGTAACTTTAAATGCGTAAATAGGTACCTGTCTTATGTATGAGAGCATGAGAGTGTTGAAAGATACCTATTTTATTGTTATTTTGTGATGTTTTTGCAAAGCTGCAGAACGGACAGAGGATCCAAAACAAATTTCCTTCGGGGGTGCGGGGGGGAGACCTTGTGTGCTAGTTTGACTTTGAGGAAATGTTCAGCAGTATAATATAGTTACACGTGAGTGTATGTAAAGCGAGCGTGTTCAATCACCTTAAGAATAGGCTTTGGTAAGATAGCAGCTCGGAAAAATCACCTTATGTATGGCTGACGGCCCTCCACATAGTTTCCATCTTGCTGCAGGGTCTTTCCCCTGTCCACTGAAAATCTCGACCACAGCTCCACCCTGCGGGAAACAGGCTTTTTAGTTTTTGACTATTAGCCTGCAGCTAATGTTACATCAGGCTAAAGCTATTAGCCTAAAAAACAGAATAACGTGAAGGAGCATGGCTTTTTAAAGAACAGGATGCCTAACTCGGGTTAGTTGGGTTAAAATAAACTTACCTGATAATTATTCTTGAACATTTTACCTCACGTCACGTCAACGTTTGGAAAAAACAAATATTTTACATGCGGTGTTAATGCGGATAAATAGTGTTTTAAGTTAAGCGTTACACTGGAAAGCAGCGCATCTTATCCTTTAGAGTTTAGAACAAGCCGAAACTGTTGGACACCACTTCAGCTAACTCAAGTATGTCTACGTCTCCATTGGTTACCTGACGCTTCCGCAGTAACCGGTGACGTCGGCTAACGTTCACCTAGTGTGTGATGTTCTTATCGCGTCCGGATTTGCCGAGGCACACATCTCCTCGACCTGTCCTGTCGGAAAATCCTTCAAATGAACACAGTTCTGAAATTTACTTTCCCTGCATCAAAATGTTGTGAGAAAATAAATTAGAAAGCCCATTTTGGAGGCGTCCCAGTGAGATGGGGCATCTGTTCAATTTAAAGCAGTAAGGCATTGTGAAATAAACATGATTAAATGACCGTGACATTTTGAAAGAATACATTTTTTAAAAACCTTTTTATTATTTTATATTTGATTTAATTCCAGTGTTTTCTATTTATATACTTTTCAAAGACTGCTTTTATTTCACTGGACTCCTCAAGAACAAAACAATAATTTATCATACCAAACAATCACTATAGGGTTCATAGAGTGTGGGATGGGATGTTTTAATAACTATCATACCTAAAGATGTTGCTAAACAAAACAGTTAAAAATAGGCCTGTATTAAAGTTGTATCTTCTCTTGAAATGCAAAAATCCATTATTGTGTCATTGTCACTTGCTTTGTTTATCCTGGCAGCAAGGCTATTATGAGATCAAAAAGATGTCTTTTTAATTAGCTACTGAGGGAGACTACATCCGGAAGTACAACTGTATGGCTTACAGCTTATTAACATGTTTTGCATGTATCTGACTTCAAACACGCGGTGGTCTCAGTTATTTATGGATATAGAACAAAAGACACGACAAAAATGAAATCTGTCCAGTCACACATATACAGAATACAGTGATTTTCATTGTTCTTGAACAAACCCCTCAACAAAGTTTAATATCACTGTCCCCATTTTCATTGCCATGGATTTTTTTGTGTTCAAGCTCATTGTAGTGATAAAAAAGGCTAAAAAAAAAAAAATAAAGCATTTATGTCCTTTCAGAATGAATGGTTTGAATGCATTAAAGAAAAAAGAAATTGCAGGAGTAAGGATGCCAGATCTTCCATATCCATGCACTTCCATGAGTTCCTGTCTCAACCCTTGCTGGTTCTGCCATACAGCAGATCTTTAGGATGCAAGAGATAGGTCAAAATGTGACATGACATGACTATATCCAGATGGTATCAACTTTTCAAGGTATTATTAATCAGTGATCGTTCATCTTGTATATGTGCGTTTTGAATTATTTTGGATGCTTCCCCTTGCACCACAAGATATTGTAAATGCAGGAGCATATTTATAACTTGCCTTATAAAAAAATATGCCCTCTGGGTTCATCATCATCCTCATGTTGACACCTCTGTCAGTTTCATATGTGGATTTTTACCTCTGTACAATAAATGAACTAAAATGTATTTTTGTATAGGCCTCTCTACTCAACTGTCAAATGACAAAAAGCTTGGACTTGAACTTAGTGGCCGCAGTTATCAGACTCATTGTTGCTGTCCCTTTCTTGGCAGCATGACTCTCTTACTATATGTTCCCCTTAAATGAAAAGATGCCTTTACAAGCCTGTGAAAGACATGTATTATGCTGTGTATATTCTAAGGATCAAAATGTCCACTTACGTCACATTGATGAAAGAGTTTTTTTTACATAGATGTTGTGTTGATAATTTCCCCTTACTTATATTGTAATGTTGTAATTGTAATATTACACATTTTACCACATATAAACAGAACTAGTATAGCTCATGAAGCCCTTAACTTTACCATGATTCATTTTTAACATTAATGAACATGACTTTGGTGAAGTACTTACTGCTGTAGTAACTAATTCCTATAGCCACATCACCCCTGGACTTGTTTCTCTCTAACTGCCCTATTTTGACACTCAGTGCAGAAATGTGTAAGATAGAAATAGTGTCAATAGAGCATAGCACAGTGAAACTTTCATAACTGACTTTTTTTCTCTACAGGAATGGCTTGACACTGATTGGGACAGGCAGCCTCATTAAAACAATGCCTGCCATGCAGTGAACACTGACGAAGCCGGTATGGAGAAATCAGTTAATAAATCAGGGCTTGTTAGCATACTTAATTATGACTAATTATTCACTCATTATTTTAAAAAGAATCTATTCATTTGCATCAGTCACAACACATCAATTAGTGTAGACAATGTTAGTTTTGATATACTGTAGAGTGACAGCAAGACAAGATGGGGTTTTTTTCATTGTAATGATTACATTCAGGTCGCTAATATTCCCAAAACATTTGTTTTATGATAAAACTATGAATGCAATTAAAGGGTCCAGATTTAAAATCATCTTTACCATGGCCAGTGATAATAATAATAATAATAATAATAATAATAATAATAATAATAATAATAATAATAATAATCTTTATTTGTAGAGCACTTTTCAAAAACAAGTTACAAGTTAAGTGCTTTAACAAGTGTAAAGACAATAATACCCAAGAGACAATAATACAAAAACAATACAAGATAAAAGCATGAAAACATTGAAAAATACACGTTTAAGATAAATTAAAATTAGTAAAATAGAATAAAATAAAAGGGATAAAATAAAGTCAAATAAGATCGGGAAAGGCTCTCCTATAAAAGTATGTTTTAAGAAGGGACTTAAAAGAGTTCACTGACCTGATTTCCTCGGGCAGGCTGTTCCAGAGCCTCGGGGCCCTGACAGCAAACGCTCTGTCCCCTTTAGTTTTCAGACGAGACTCTGGAACAGACAACAGACCTCTGCCCGAGGATCTCAAGGTACGTGCTGGTGTGTATGGGACTAAAAGTTCAGAAATATAACAAGGCGAGAGGCCATGAAGAGCTTTAAAAGTAATCAATAAAATTTTAAAGTCAATTCTAAAACATACTGGGAGCCAGTGTAGTGAAGCTAAAATAGGAGTAATGTGGTCATATTTCTTTGTTCTGGTTAAAAGCCTGGCAGCTGAGTTCTGGACAGTCTGGAGTCGATCAATAGATTTTTGGGTTAAACAGGTGAAAAGGCTGTTGCAATAATCCAGGCGTGATGAGATGAAGGCATGTAAAATGGTCTTGGTGTCCTTAAAAGTTAACATAGATCGAATTTTTGCTATATTTCTAAGTTGATAAAAACATGATTGAACAAGCTTTGTGGTGTGCTGCTCGAAATTTAAATTACTATCAAACCAAACACCAAGGTTCTTTGCCACAGGCTTAATGTGATTTACTAGGGAACCAGCAGATGGCAAATCAAATACTGCCATCTGCTGGGACCCAATGACCAGGATTTCTGTTTTGTCTGAGTTCAGCTGGAGGAAATTATTTGACAACCATTTTTTAACTTCACAAAGGCAATTGTTAAGTGAACTCAGCATTCCAGGGTCTGTGGATCTGACGGGCAAGTATATTTGTGTATCATCAGCATAAATATAAAAAGAAATGCCATGTTTATGGATAATATGTCCAAGGGGAAGCAGATACAAGGAAAACAAAATGGGTCCTAAGACCGACCCCTGAGGCACACCATATTTAACTGGACAGAACGAAGAGACATAGTTGTTTACAGACACGCAAAACTTCTTATTTGACAGGTAGGATGAAAACCATTCTAGGGCAGTACCAGAGATCCCCACCCAGTGCCTCAGTCTGTCTAACATGATGTTGTGATCAATGGTGTCAAAAGCAGCGCTAAGGTCCAGGAGTACCAGGACTGAGCACATGCCTTCATCAGCAGACATTAAAAGGTCATTGGTGACTTTAAGCAGTGCTGTAGTACTTCCTAAAACCAGACTGAAACTTTTCAAATATTTTGTTATTTTCCAGTACAGTGAGCAGCTGTTTGGACACAATTCTTTCTAGAATCTTTGCAATAAAAGGCAATTTTGAAATTGGTCTAAAATTATGTGGGAGGGACGGATCTAAACCAGGTTTCTTTAAAAGTGGGTACACGCAAGCCGTTTTAAAATAATCAGGGCAACAACCAGTAGATAGGGAGCTGTTGAAAACAGAGATCAAATGGGGCCCAACAGAATCCATTACTTTCAGTAAAAACTTTGTAGGTATTACATCAAGTGGGTGGAGGACACTCTCATTTGTGATACTGTTTTTAAAAGCTCAGACAAGTCGATGGGATAAAACTGGTTAAAACTCTCTTGTTGCCTCTGAGTAAGAGGCCGCAGGGGTAATAGAGGCTCTGATTGACACCACCTTATTGGTAAAATAAGATAAAAACAATTCACAGTCATCATTACTTCCAGCTGAGGCACAAGGAGGGGTTGGGTTTACCAGCTGATCCACAGTCTTAAACAGAAACCTGGGATTGTGTTTATGTGTAGTAATGAGTTCAGAAAAATAGTGTGTTCTCGCATCCTTAACCAAGTTATTGTATTTAATTAATAAGACTGAGGTAATGGACTTGGAGACTGGATTTTTTCCATCTGCGCTCTGCTTTCCTACATTCCCTTTTGAGGCTGCGAATGCTGTCATTTATCCAGGGTTGCTTACTAGCTTTAGACGTAGGCCTAACCTTTAGAGGAGCAGTAATATTTAGTGACGACAAGCAGATATGATTGAAGTGATCGACCAGATTGTTGGTGTTTGAATCAGACAGGTGTTGGCTTTGCCTCTGAAAGAATGCGCAAAACTTTGAAACACTTTGTTCATTAAAGATGCGAGAACACACGGAGCTTGGTGAGGCTGCATGAGTAACAGGCGAATCGCAGCTAAAAACAATACGTCTGTGGTCAGATATGGTCATATCCACTAATTCCACAGAGGAAATGAAACCAAGTCCAGTGTATGACCACGGTTATGTGTTTGCCCTTTGACATGTTGTTTGAAGTTAAAAGAAGTGGCCATATTTAAAAAGTCAGTTGCATTAACATTGGTGGGGTCATCAGCATGAATATTAAAATCGCCACAAAGAACAATTCTGTCATAATAAGCATTGTATTTACACAGTATTTGACTTCAGAGTTCCTTAAAAGAGCTTGTTTTGTGGGGGAAGGAAGCTTAAGTGTGTGCAGGGGGTGACCCTCACAGATGAGTTACCTGATTAAAA